GAGAAGCACCGGTGTGAAAGCAATTTACCTTGTTGATATTCTCGCGCGGTATGTGCGTCGAACCTCCATCGTGTTGGCTGATATATTTATACCGCCTTTAACATGCATCACTGACTGCGCCTCGCCCCTTCGCTTTCGTGCCAACGATTTCGCCTTACTCTGGATATATCTGCAGGCAGTCGAGCACCTGACATAACATGGCACCAACGGCCGGGAAAGTTCCTTCCCCGCCGCTGGACCTACAGGACAGAGCTCGCTACGGCCAATTAGCCTTCGATTCCTTTGCCCTTGTAAGTCTTCGCTTCATAGCCAACACGCACTTGTATCCTGTGAGGGCTCACCTCTTCCTCTAGAACTGCTGGGACAAGTCTGCCTCCTTAGACGAGGATCAAAATCAATGGAACCGGCTCGTATCCCAGTACAACGCCCTCCGTCCTGTGGACCGCGTCGTGAGTGACTTCTTTCTTGTTTGCATCATGGCTAACATTATCACAAGCCATATTACAAGCAGAGCTTTCTTGTGGAGAATGGAACGCGCCCACCTCCTAGCCCTGAGGAGGCAATACGAATCCTCCAGCCGCACCAGACACCTTCGGAGCGGCAAATAAGCACAAGATTCCGCGATGTGCACGATCCGCTCTGTCTCCGCACTTGCTACATGCCAGATCTGCAAGCGGTGTTCATGGAAATCAAGGACTCCACTGGAGTTGGCGAAGATGCTGGTATCAGCGACTACCTCGATGATGAAGCCTTGTACAACTTTGGATCTGACTGGAGCAAGATTTTGTTTCGTCTTCCTGAGCTTTGCGACACACAACAGCTTCTAGAAGAGGAAAGCCTTGTGTACTTGCCCGAGGAGATCGAGGGCGGAGAAGAGGAGCGTGCAAGTGTGGCAGTTGTGACGCGACTTTTCCTTGTTGATGAAGAGGCCCTTCGAGAACGTCTTTTGAAGGTCCTGTGGCTAGACGCACATGGATTTTGTGTGTGGTGGAACAAATTAGAGCTTGTGGATCTGGAAAACTTCCATGGCAGATGCCTTCGAGGATGGAGTCTGAGTGAGTTTATCAGTGGCGGCGCAGGCAAGTGGTTACCAAAAGGATGCGTCCTTCCAATTTGAACAAGGTAAATATGTTGTATTGGAGAACGAAACTAAAATTGCTGGTCTGGTGCCCTGGGCGGTCGGATTTCTGGCCATTACACAGTCTCAAATCCATCTTAGCTAGACATTTGTAAAACCCCTTTTGTATGTCACTATTCGTTGCTGACATATAGAGTACTTGGCAAGGACTGAAAACCTAATCCTAATGCCGCAGACAAGGCTCCCGGGCCCCGAGCTGGACCCCGACTCCGAGCTTGATTGACCTCCTCTTCTCACGAAGTTTGATGCCCATGAGGGAGACCCATTCTAAGTCGATGATAATTGCGTAGTCATCCGTCACATTTTCCCACAACCATTTTTTTACCTACCTCCAACTATGTACTGCCATGTTTTACGCTCAAAAAATAGATCCTAATAATCAGTAGCGTGTTGTGTTTATCTACCATCTTTCATCCTTTCGCTGTGTTACGAGGACAAATCATTACTATCTGCTCATAGTAGTAAACTTGACAAGACAATGCTGTTACTCATTGCCGACATCACAGGCAACTGAGCATTTTCTCGACACTTGTCTGTTCGGGAGCTCGGTCGAACTCCCACGAAACTCGATCAAGACATCTTGATAAACCTTGAGTCATTTGTTCATAGTACATCCTATTATGATGTCCCAGCGATAGATCGGGCAGTTGAGGGAGTTGATGCAATCATTTGCGCCTACTCAATAGATCTTGTTCTATACCTCGATGGCGGCCTCCTTCTGCTTCGCGCCGCAGAACGTGCTCAGGTCAAGATCTTCGTTACACCCTGATGGACTAGCAACTCGACAAATATCAACTTCGGGGACTTCGAAATCTACAATTCCGTGATTGCATTTGCCGTCCAAGCAGCTGCTACAAGCCCTATCTGTCCCATTTACCTGATCAATGGGGCCTTCGCAGAGTATATATTCACTCCCGGAAATGCCACGTTTGATATAGATAGCCATGGAGCAAAATATCATTACTGGGGAAGCGCGAACTAAAAGAAGATACCGTGGACAGCCATGGATGATGCTGCCGCCTCAGCTATTGAGATCTTGTCGAATGGCGAAGGCATTTTAGATGGAAGAGGTGGAGTCTTTCAGTTTCAATCTGGGTCAAACACGTTCGACGAGCTAGCACAAATATATGAGAAGGTCACTGGAACAAAGGTCGAAGCAGTCTGTGATGGAAGCACAGAACTAGACACCGCACTCGATGCAGCAAGAAAAGAACCCGAACAAGGGAGATTCTGGAAGTACTACCTAATGGCATGGAGTCGAATCGCCATCCAAGTCCTATGGGAGCTAGAAAATCCAATGTCGCTTGACTATATCAAACGCCCTACCACATTCGAAGAACACTTGAAAACACGTTTTGATAGCGAGTGAAGCTTTGGTATGGCATACAGCACCGAAATTTGCAGGCACTAGCTTGTATAGATACAGACTAAGCTAGATAGCGGACTGATCAGTCAATAGCTATGCTAGTAAAGCATAGAAACGCGACGTTCAGCCTCGCCGGCACTGTATAGGGAGAGCCGGTGTTCGCACGGCGGTCGGGGCCAATTGAGTCAAATTCAAGCTATACAGTACTATGATCTAGGCACACGATGTCCTGTGCTCAATTTGTCCTCAAAGACTCGTCGAAGGTGCTGTGGGGGCTTGTGGCGTGAAGGACAACCCCTAAAGAGAATCGAGCTAACTGCAACTTATGAGATGCATGCCTGACTTGCCTTGAGACTACCAACTACCGTGAATGACAACAGTGGTGAGATCAAGTACGAAATCTCGTGATCCGTTAGCAGGGATGCTGATATCTTGTCACCTCAGACTCAGACTCACCGTTAAGAGTCTTGCAATGTTTGACTCGTCCTCAGGCTCCGCATCGCTCACCTGCACAAGCGTAATAAGCTTCATTGCAGGCGGTCCCGTTGGCATTAGCATTAAAGCAAACCACAGCATGGGATCCGGGCCTAGTATATGGGTCTTAGACGCGAGAGCATAGATGAATCCGATAGACGCCGCCGGCCAGATTACAAAACGAATAACGAGAATGAAAGTAACAGTGACCCAGGGAAGTCTAGGTCTCTCAAGTTCACCATCTCTAGACTCTCGCATTGAATTGTAAAGAGAGACTCCGGCGACAACAACAGGCAATGGCACAAACAGGCTGCCAATGGTTTTAAAAGAAGCTGTCAACCATGCAGTGAAGATGCCACCATCCTGGGTATCGTTGAAGAATGCCCGATGGAGCACTGGTGTCAAGCCAATGATAGCGCCCAGGATAGCGCCCAATAGTGGTGCATTGAAGAAGTCAGATATGAAGAGCAGCCACCATTTTGTCCGCGGTCCCAGTTTAACCCAGTGATGTCGCCGTATTAGAGACGGCCGGCGAGGAAACGACTCATAAGATTCATAAGAGGCTTGTGCAGTGGATGTCTTCCGGTTTGATGGGAAGAATGCGCTAGGGCGTCTTTTGAACGGATCTGTGAACTGCACGGCAGGTAGTTGGCTAAGCAGTCCAGTCTCCTCACTAGCCTCGCCTTCATCTCTCCCTGCTTGATCGCCGCCATTGCCACTTTCGCTTTCTGGCTCCTTATCATGGTCGGACTCTGGGGCGTGTTCTGTGTCGATAAGCCGTGGCCCAACTGCAAAGGTCAGACAGCTGGAGATAGTGGCAAACACGAGGAAATATGACTTCGCACGCTCGATGGCGGCGGATGTGCTCTCGTCTGTAACAATGAGTGACTTCAAGATACCCGTTTCATCTAGAGCCGCAACGAGTAGCAGAGGGTAGCTAGTTGTGTTGTTGAACATAATGGCCACTGTTGTCCAATCCGGCATACCAAGTCCCAAATGCGCAATGATCCCGATAACGAAGGAGATGAGATGGCAAATGATCGCCCAGGCCACGATGATGCCGTAGCGGTCTGCAGAACCAGCATGTAATTCTGATCCAATTTTTGTGATAAGCAGTGCGGGGAGAAACATTCTCACGCATATCTTCGAAAGCGCCTTGGAATTGGCCGCGTTCAGTAGCTTGAGATGCGCCGCGATTCCACCATAGAAGATAACCAGAAGCACAGAGACGCTGGCTTGGATGGCAGCCAGAAAGGACTCGAGGAGCCCCGTCGGTGCCGCTGCAACACTTGGTATCGCGAAGTTCATCTTGTTTGCTTTCATGTAAGCAACATCTGATATGCTTTTGAGTTATTCGCCCGAGACGGTGGCTGGCGTTCTACGAAGTTCGCGACAGAAGATCTAGCGAAGATGCAGCTGTGCCAGATTGCCGGGTTTGATATGAGGTGGGGTGGAAATGCCGCAGGCTGGGCTCGATGACGAATGTACGCCTCAAAATGGCGAGGCCGTAGTTCGTCCAGCCAAATCACGGTGATACAAGAACAATGAAGATCATTACGACATCTCATGGCATGAAAATAACGATAGTTTCTAGACAGACCAGCATCAGGTCAAATGCACGATGATTGATGACGAACAGGACGTTGACTCCAAGAGCCTGACTTTAGCACGTGCCTATCGCTCTCAGCTTCAATGGGGTTAGTCTCAGGAGCTCCTGCAACACTCCAACTGAAGGCGCTAATCCGTTTGCTCGTCTCTTTTTAGTGCTCTACATGCTGACTGGCCTATAATTATGGCAGGATTTCAAGCCGAGATTGAGAATCCCTTACAATCGATAGTTGTGGCAATTGCACTTTCAGAGGGAAACCATGGAGTTCAAAGCTTCAGCATGAAGAGTCTTGGATGTACCTTCTTCAATGATACGTGCTTAGTGTGTTTGTTTCGTATCCAAGTGATTCTAGCTAGGTCCTTCAACCCTCAGCCTGGACTGCCAGAGCAAGACGATCATGTCTTCCGCGTCACTTAGTGGACAGGCAGCTCATTGTTCTCCAGCATGCGAATGGTCTCTCTAGTTGCAGCATCCAAGTCTTCCCGAGGCAGCCCAAGAACATCGTTATCTAGCCCGTGGCTAGTCTCGTAATCGCCATCTCCATTATCGAAGAAAATCCTAGAATAGATCCTCATGGGATGCGCGCTGAAATCGCCTTTGGCTACACGCTCAGAGGCTTCCTTCCAACGCCTCTCGGCATTGTCCTCTCTGATATTCCAGTCGGCGTCTGTGGTGCCGGTCACACGCTTGAGACTTTCGTACATGTCGCGCTGACTAACTCGGAAGCTGGAAATAAAAAGCATATTGTCAAAGTACCGGCTGATGGTAGCACTTGTGTCGCTCTGGTCCTGTTGTAGAATCGGCAGATTCAGCAGTGCGGCAACTGCACGCCCGCACTGAGCCCAAGTGCTCGTGTTTATCTTGACATTTCCTCCATCAAGTAACACTCCACTGCGCTTCTTAATGTCGAACCCAAAGAGGTCTTCTCCCAACCCGAGGCTCCACTCGTACCAGTAGCCGCATGTCAAGACTACACTGTGAATGCCCGCTTTTTTGACGTCTTCCCAATAAACACCAAACTGAGGACCCAATGTAGTATCATTGCCCAATTTCTCATTACCCCAGAAGTCATAGCCGTACACGTTTGGCATAATGTACTGGATACCAGCCTTGGCTGCAGCTCGAACAATTTTAGAATGTGTCTCGGCAGGAGCTCGAATTGCCAAGCTTATAATTAGGAAATCCTGACCCTCTAGAGCTTTGATGAGTGACGACTCATCGTCATAGTCGATTACTATTGCTTTGACCCCCGAAGGCAGGTTGCTCGTGCTAGCCGCGCGTGTAAGGCCGGTTACAGTCTTTCCTATCTTGAGGAGCTCCTTAGCCATTGCCGACCCGATATGACCTCCTGCCTGATTCAATGTCAACACCCATTTTGATAACTCGAAACTAGATTTTGGTCGATAAAACTCACGCCAATAATGGCAACGCGGTCGATACGGTTCCTATAGCCTTGCGGCTGATCTTTGGCATATTGGGAAGACATTACGTCAGATCCTCGGAAATAATCAATAGAGAAAAGCGTGTTATAAGTGAAAAGACTATGAATACTCAATTGAGCATATAAACAGCCTAACTCAAGAAGGTTATCATAGGTGCTCGACTTTTATAGCTGAACAAAACTCATTGCGATTTCGCGATCGGCATGTTTAAGCACGATGCACCTATCTAGGCAATACATAACTCCGTTTTCTAAAGTGGTTCAAACGGATATTGCATAACTCCATCTCATGGCATGATGTATGGACTAAGCCCATATCTCTATAGCAAAGGACATCGAAGACATTTATATAGACACTAGAGATGTTCAGATTTAGCGTTGTGTTGTGTGCAGGGTTAAGTCCGGTAAATCCATTAGTGCCATCATTACTCCAGCGCCGACCCGCGACATGGTCACATTTCGATGTTAGAGAGGGAAAGAGAACCAATGAAACATGAGAAAAAGGCGAATAATAAGGTATGGCAATCTGTTAGATATAGTTTCTGCTGTCTGCGTTGGCTGAGAAGAGGTTTACAAGGATGAGCGTTCCTCATCACAAATTCTTGGCGCGACTGTGTCTACACATGTAAAACAGATTCTGAATGTCATACTCACTGCATAAATAAAACTATATGAAGATGCCATAAGAAAAAATAGTTCGTGGTGAAATCATGCTAATCTCCTATTGTCTTGAGTCAATTGCGTGCTTTCGAAACCAGGCGGCACACAAAGACCTAGACGGCTCAAAGAATGCTCGTCTTAGTCGCGATTTTCAACATAGTTTAGCGTTCGATCGCTAACCATAAGACATCAATATCATAGTCAGTATATAAAAATTATGAATAGATTTCGTGCTCATTATGATACCTGATACTCAACCAAGGAAGGAGACTGACTATGCCAACGCAAGATATTAGCGGCGCTTGAGACCTTGGCTTCCTGCCTGCACTTGCGCTAGGATCTCATGTCGATCCCGGCTCAGCTCGCTTACGCCGGCAGCTGACGGCCCGCTATCGTGGCGCGGTTACGCAGTAAGACGAGTTCGAGCTGACTTCAGACATGTTTATGTAGCTTTTCCCTTGCAACCTCGAGAAAACCTCGAATTACACTCGCTGCTCTCTGAATCTGTCGAGAAACACCTCATCTCCTCCTTCGACTCTCTTCTGACACGTCTCAATCATGGCGTCGGCAGGAAGCTCTAAGGAATCCATCAGCGCTGCTGCGTCTGTGCCTTTCATCTATCGCCTCATCTTGACAACATTAGAGCCAATCTTTGCGACTGGAGGTGCTATGATCACCTTCTTCGATCCGCCAAACTATCTATCAACCATGACCCGCCACCAAGTGGCCTTCGCTTCGGACACCAGGTTCCTGTACACTGAGCTGGGAGGAGCATGGCTCTACTTCGCCTTCGTCGAGGCGGTCGTCTTCCGGATGTTTGACGACCTTCGATTGTGGCGGATCTTGTGCGCGGGCATGCTACTGAGCGATTTCGCCTACTGTCACAGCGCCGCCCAAGCTGTTGGTGGATGGGGGCCGTGGTGCACGCTCTCCGAGTGGACTGTGGAGGACTGGACGGTGCTCGTGACTACAGCGCCTATGGTACTTTCGCGAATTCTTATAGTTCTCGGTGTCGGAATCACAGCGCCTCAGTCGGCAAAGAAACGAGTTTAGTGGAGTGATGGCGACAACAGAGTTATGATGACACATCTTGCAGACGAAAGGCAAGAGCTGTCAAACTTTTTGTCTGGAAGCAAGAGAAGTCCGAGAGTGGTGGAGAAAGAAGATCAAGACTCAAATCGTGTTCAATACAAAAAGTCTACTCTTATTGATAATTACAGTCACGTATGCTTCATAACTATAGTACAGGTCAAGCTCTGGTGTTTGGCTCAGGAGCCGAAACACTCGCATTCCCCCCATGGTCAGGTGCGGAATAGATCCATCGGTAACATATCCACCGGCTCCATATATTGCGCATCGCTCAGTGCCAATGAAAAAGGCGTTGCATACGCTCCCATATCGAACGAGTCACATTGAGAGCCAGTCACACCAGGCATGAGCCACTCTTGTATCCAGGGCTGTTGAAGGTGGATGTTACCTGGAGTTGCAGTCTCAGCTGCCAGAGTTGTCATGATCTCCTCGCCAAAGTCAACTCCTTCTCCACTATTCATTGGCTCTCCAGGCGTGTAGTCGCTCACTCCAACAACACCAGCAAACTGTCTGGCTACCAACATGAGGACACGGTATGTGGGTGAGAGTTGTGTCTGCTGAGCTATCTTCAGACATGATCTGACTGCCTCTTTTAACCTGGCGAGCCTGGATTGATCAGTTATAGTAGCCTCTTTGTGAGATTCTGATGAAGTTGTGCAGGAAAGGAGCTCCAGACATAGCACGAGGGTGCAATGGTACAAGTAATAGACGTCTACCCAGGACACTCCATTTAAGAGCCCATCATTCGCCAACTTCGTCAAATACTCTAACGACTTCTCCGTGGATATAACACATGTATGTCTAAGACTGCCGAGTTCGTCTTCCTGAAATCGATCTTTTTCGTGTTTGTGTGATGTTAGACCGAGCTCAGTCTCAGCTTGGTAAAGCAGATATGGCCGTAGGACAAGCGTTATGGCGTGATGGTATTGGGTGTGTAGCAAGAGAACAGCTCGCCTATGATGCTCGATCATCGACCTCCAGTCTGGCAATAGATGAGCAGGTAATGAAACATACCAGTCATCCAGATCACTCAGTAGGGCACGAGAGACAGCCAGACTGGGTATGATGCCATCGTTGTGGTATGTATTGTAGGTGGTCTGTTTAATATGCCAAGTTAGCTTGATAAGGCGCATCTGCTGCTCTGCGAAGCCCCGCGGCGCCTCAGTCATGGATTCTGTCGGCATTGAAATAGTTACTTCCGCATCATCGATCGCCGATGGCCGACCTAATATGACGCAGAGGTTCCGCTCAAAAGCGTACAGGGTTGCCCATACCCGACGACGGGTGTCTCGCTCGACCGGGTCAAAGTCGGCACTCTCGGCAGTCTCTCGGTGCATGCCCAGTGCAAGAGCCATCCGTGCAGCGGACCCAAGAAACATCCACGACGCGTTGCGTTGTCCTGAATTGTGCTCGTAAAGTTGTAGCAAAAGAAGTGCTTGTACATTGATCATGCTAGTTGTTCCCGTGAGCCGACCAAGTGACGAGCGCACGAATTCTAAATAACGCCTCTGAATTGTGATAGATTGCGCAGAATTATGATGTTGAGATGTTGCTTGAGCACCAAAAGTAAAAACCATCGCAAGACAACACATGTAGCCTGTGTCGGTTTTGATAGGGTGCAGGTTAGCGGAGGCTCCGATGTTTCCAGATGGCTGCCAAAGAGACTCATATTGCAGTTGAAATGTTCCACGATGAAAAACTGGGTAGTTGGGGTGAACTTGGTCGAAGAAGATATGAACGAAAGAGTCGGCCGTGTCTCTGGGCAGAAGAAATCCCTGGCTTTGAGTTCCTTCATTGGAAAATTCGCTCTGTACGCCAACGTCCAAGGGAGTATGAGCACTGGCAGATGGTGAAGTGTGCGTTGGGCCTACCAGATCTGCTTGACTCGCTCCCTCTGGTCCAGCAGGATCCTGGATCTCAAGGGCTTTGCTTGTCCGTAAATCAACGAAGTCAGCCCGCAGTGCCTTTTGGGAGAAATTTGACACATTATGGCACTGGGCCACAAGACTGCGGATCGCCGTCACAAATCTAAAGGAGCTTGATGGGCCGACATAATGGCCAACTCCTTGTGACGTTGGGATAAGCTTTTCTGTAGTATCTCTTCTTCGGAGCTCATTGTTTTCAGTAGATCGAGCAGATTCAGGACGAGTAGAATGAGCGGTAGAGGTAGCAACAGATACCCTTCTAGATGTGGTAGCCGCAAACAGTTCAGGGGCCGATGCTAGGTCGTCTCTTTGTGGCATTGAAATATGCTTCTCTTCACCGATTCGATATAAAGTGTCCAGGTCATTGGTGTTCTCATCCTGGAAAAGTCCTCGGACAAGAGCATCCAAAGCACGATACCGAATGCTCAAACTCTCAATGCTGCCGTAGACTCGCTGTTTTCTGGGCAGCGTGGATTCGCACTTGATACGGTTGGCGACACAATTGGTGCAAGGCTCTTGCGGAAGGCCACGGATACACTTGGCACGTCGATGCTTACAGAAGTCACAGCTTACAGCTGCGCGTCTCCGCTGTCTCTCCGGGACTCGCTGTCCCTTTCCCGCGTCCGTCGGCATCTCCAGCAGCGGCTGTAGAGAAGCGCGGCATATGAGTGTTGTGAGACAGTCAGGAAAACTGGAACAGGAAGGATAGATTCGATGGGTAAAGAGTGAGATTGATAAGCTTGTGTCACGATGGAATGGCAAACCCGGCAAGACTACCCTCTCGGGTAGTCTCTCGTAAGGGCCCACTCCAAAGTCATCTCCGTGTAATTCGAAGCGAGCTACTCCAAGATTCTCCCAACTCTAGCCTAGGGCGCCCCCTCAGGAGAAGTTAGTGCGTAGCTTGTAGGCATGTGGTGCGGGGTCCCCGCACGCCGCAAAGGCCAGTCGGCTGGATCGATCCGAGTAATTGAAAGCCTGGGAGAAATTGACCGCGGCCACTCGCCGGGGCCTTCACCACCGAATCTTCTCTTACGAACACAGGAGAGTTGAGAAAGGGCTGGGGAATACATTGTTTGCACGGACGATGCTACCTTCCTAAACACCTTTTTATAACTATGTTGATCCCCAGGTCATCCGAACCTCCCTAGATGATTCCCCCTATACGCCGTACAAGCAGGTGCTGAACATTTGACAACCACAATGGCCGAGAAAGATATGTCTGACAACTACTCTCATGTTGAAGAAACCGTCAAGGGCTCTTCAGATACACCTAAGCTTGATCCTCATGGATACCCACTCAATCCGCAACCTAGCCGCTTCCGGGATGATCCTCTGGTAAGTCATTCTCAATATTTGTAGGTTTACCTGCTATTGTCTTTGCTGACTTTGAGGAGAACTGGCCACGGTGGATGAAATGGACTGTTCTTCTCCAAGTCAGTGTCATGGCACTTCTTGGTCCATTCAACGCGGCAGTACCGAATCCCAGCTTCGGCTTATTGAGCAAGTTCTTCCATGAGCCTGTCGAAATCATCACGTATAGCACAACAACGGCCATCATTACTGGCGGTGTTGCTGTAAGCTGTCCTGGTTATCTCTTGCAAGGTTGTCAATCATCTGACCTCCCAATAGCCTTTCATCTGGGTCCCGCTGTCGAATGTATATGGAAGAAGACCGATGTGTCTGATGACCCAAATCGTTACCATCGTTTCCCACATAGGAACCGCTTATACAAAGACTTTACCTGCTTTAATGGGAGTGCGGGCAGTGAATGGGATTGGATTCGGCGGCATGATGTCTCTTGGCACTCCGGTTCTCAATGATATGTTCTTTATGCACGAACGAGGTGAAATGACAGGAATTTATACTCTATTCGTGACTAACGGTGCGCATATCGCAGTTCTCTGTAAGTGCTTTGACATTCTCCAACGTTTAAAGTTCTTGAGCTGATGCATCCGGTAGTTGGAGGGTATCTTGGCCAGTATGCGGGATGGCGATGGGATTTGTAAGTCTCTTCTCAAATCGACTTTCCTCTCTAAATGATTAGCTGTATCGATTTATAAAGTCTAAATCCCGAATTTCCTATCTTTTCTTGCTAAACAGTTTCCAAGGCAATCGCTAATTCGATTCTAAATCTTGCAGTTACATGCCCGCCATTGTGACGAGTATTTCCTTTCTAGTGGCAGTCTTCATGCTTCCGGAGACACTATTTTCTCGAGGGCCAAAGTTTCTAGAAGAGCGCATTCATGAACGATCGTATTGGGAGCTCTTGTTCAACTTTCCGGGCAACCTCATCCCACAGCGTCATCTTCACCCCAGGGACTTCCTTACCTCATTTTATATGCTCAGGTATCCTTCCATCTTGTTTCCATTCTGGTTCTACACCTGGAGTTGGACCTTCATCAACATTCTCCCTGCAATCACTATGGCGAAGATTTATGGAACACTATATGGATTCACAAGTGGTCCTATCGGATTATGCACTGGCATCCCACTCATCATTGGATGTCTAATCGGCGAACTGTCTGCGGGAAAACTGAGCGACATCATCATTTACCGTAAGGCTAAGCACAATGATGGCGTTGTGAAGCCGGAGCATCGCCTCTACTTGACCTGTATATCTGCCTTCTTTGGACCGATTGGGATGATAATATTCGGCGTATGTCTTCAAAAACATACCATGTATATCATTCCGCTCATCGGTCTTGGAGTTGGTAAGTTTCTAACAACGCCTCACAGTCATTTTGATTATGATTAGCTCACTCTCATATCATAGGTGTCATTGGGCTTCAAATTACATCCACGTGCTTGTACGCCTATGTGTCTGATTGCTACCGCCCGCAAACTCCCGAATCAGCGGTCCTCATGAATCTGAGTCGCGGACTATCTTTTGTCGTGGGGTTCTTCTGGTTGCCAATGGTCAAACAGATTGGATATGCATGGACTTGGAGTACCTTGGCTATTGTCCTGCTTGTTCTGTGGCTGCCCATCTTGTCTTTGATGCTCTGGGGCGAGGGTTGGAGGAAGAAGCTGGGGGATCCAAAATTCCACCAATACACCTGAGGCAGCCAGACAACAAGCTTATGGACAAAAGCCTGGACTGAGATACCCGTATTGTAATATAATTTCTTAGCTGTGCTGCAAGCATACTATGGTACATGGCCCCTTAACTTGATATGTCTGTAATGAAATTGTCCGAGATGTCTGTGTTAGCGGCAATTATGGCAGCTGATTTAAGGTGGTGACGCTCTCTCGTAAAAGGTGAGAGTCTAAAAAATTGGGTTGGTGTCGAAGTTCATCGTCAGCGTGTCTAGTCACATGGACACTGAATCACTAAAAGTTATTTGATGGCTGCAAGCATAATTGAAGATACGATTATTGCTGGCTACTACCCTTAATACATGAATTCAAAGTGTCTAGCAATATCTCGTATCTCATGCCTGAGATTGAATTTCTCGGGCGTCAACCTGTACGGATGTGTCAAATGCTGCCTTTGACTCCTTTCCCTTCCTTGCCTCCTTCAAAGCCTCATCAAGGACCTTATACGCATCATAGCCAAATAGTCCATCCAAAAATTCTTTCCGTGATCGGATGTTGATATGGCCTTCCCAGATGCCTGGATGCGCAAGCAGCCATTCATCGCGCTTGCGCTGCTCTTCACCATCCTCCATTTGAGTGAACCATCTACTATCAACGCTATTTTCAGCTACATGGGCTGCACGCTTAATGCGCAAGTTCTCATAGATACCCAGGGCCTCTGGTAAAGCGGCTGGAGTACAGTACTCCGGTTGCGACAGGATGCCACCGAGAATGGCCGCATCTTCGATGCCCACAGCCGCACCCTGCGCTAAATAAGGGGTCATGGCATGGGCTGCATCACCAATCAACACGAGCTTGTTTAAAGAGTGAGCCCAATGGGGAATCTCATCATGAGTATAAAGCTAACACGTAGTTTTATTTAGTATCAAGAGTTCGATGATGTTGTCCGGAGCATGAACTTACGCGCCATTCAAGCACTTCATCAACGTAGGAGAGCATCTTATCAATCCTCGGGTCCCAGTCCTTGAACGCTTCTCGCACATCCTCGTTGGTCCCAATCTTTTGGTTCACGCCGTCTTCCATGTTAACATCGCAGCTAGTATTCGTTAACATTAGTGATTATTAGGCTTTATCTCCGGACCAGATCACTACATACGTGAAGACAAAGTTGATCAAAGGCTCGTTCACCCCCTGCAACAGGTATGACAATATGGTACCATGAGGTCCAATCCAATGATTATTGCGTGGTACTTCAATCAGCTCTTTGAGTTCAGGAATACCTTCCAGTTTCTTTGTCGGTAATGTGACTCGGTAAACCATCTGACCGGTGGGTACAGGAGGGCTCTTGTAACCAAGGACGATCTCACGGCAAACCGAATGAAGGCCATCGGAGGCAACTATAAGATCTGCCGTCAAGCGCGTACCATTCTTGATTGTAACGGCGGGGACCTCGGGCTCGACTTTGACGACTCTACTGTCTAGGAGAATTTCGATACCAAGTTCGGCAGAGCGAGCGGAAAGTCCACGATGAAAGTCTGCCCGATGAATGTGCCTACAAAAGTTGGCGTGTCAACCCTCCTTTCCAGATTATCCCTCTGTATTTATGGGTACTAACCAATATGGCGAACCGTACTCCTCGAGTGCTGGCTTTTTCAATGGGCATTCGACAAGCATTTGACCATTCTGCCAACGCATCATTCGCAGATCAACTGGCTCAGTACAATACTTTTCGATGTGCTTGTCTATGCCGAGATTTCGTAGAACGCGAGATGAGTTCGAGGAGACCTGGATACCTGGTATTATCAATACTTAGAGATTTGCGCATTGCTATGGGCGCAACCAACCTGCGCCAATGTATGTGATCTGTGCAGCACTCTCCAGAACTCTCACATGATGACCTGCCTTAGCCAAGGCAATAGCAACTGTGAGGCCTGCAAGACCTGCGCCAATGACAATGATTTGCTACATGGAGGTTAGTGAAGGGTACTGAGAAAATAAACACAAGGTCGGCTTGCCATCTCAGCTGTTTTGAGAGACTTTGATACTCTGTATGCAGTATCTTATCTCGAGTCAATGCTTCGGTTGTGGTTAAAGCTCTTCTCTTCGTCAAGAATACGCTGGATCCAGACGTGACAACTCCCGCCCGTCCTCGGAGATCTTGGCATGCCTTCATATCTTCAGGCCACATGAGTTGTGGCCAAAACCTGTGCAGGATACCTTGCATCGGTCATAGACATCCGCCATTGACGCGATTTTCTCCGTGCGTATTAGTGCCGGAAGGTTCATGCCACGGAAGGATAGAGCCGTTAGAGGAAAGGCACTTCCGCTTTCAAGCCACATTATGATCATGCACTCCAGGTCTAGCAATGCGAATTGGTCGCCTCATGACCAACAGGGCAATAAAATCGTACTCAATTAGAAAATTTGTCAAGAAGAGATACATGCATCAGTCATAACCTTTCGCATTAAACGTTGCACACAGGACAAGATTTTTTTACGTGGCCAAACATGACCACTCTTCCCGAACAGTGCTGCATCCTCCCACCCTTTCAGTCGGATTACAACCCGATTGGCCGAAGATTCAAAATCAATGTCGGCGGCCAAGATGATCTTGAGGTCTATTCGACTGGTCAACTAGATTCGTCCAAAGTGTTGATAGCTATATTCGGTGCGAAAATTGCATTGACAGTTTGAGCAGCCTACAAGCTAACTCACGAGATCAGACATATTTGGCATGCACTCAAATACTCTACAAGGTGCTGATCATTTGGCAAAAGTCACAGGTTACAGGATCGTCGTCCCTGACTTCTTTCGCGGTCAATCCTGGCGGGTGGATAATATACCCCCCAAAGAGGGTCGGCCGTTTTTAAACGCATGGATCCAGAATATTGGCTCCTGGGAGAAAGTTCGGCCTGGACTTCTAGCCACGTTATCGCTCGTTCAGAAGGATGGAGCAAAATCTGTTGGCGTAAGTGCATTTCAAGAATCGAGTACTTCACGCGAAAATCTCACCGATGCGACCTTAGGCATACGGGTTCTGCTTCGGAGCCAAAAAGTTGGTACAGGGCGCAAATGAGAAACTCTTCAAGTCAATGGCTTTGGTGCATCCATCTTTTTTTCAGCCCGAAGACGCTGACAATGTCGCGGTCCCGGTAGCACTTCTACCTAGCCAAGGCGAAGATAAAGACATTATGAACGCATTCTGGGACAAAATACAAACGAAAGACATGGCAAAACTTTCTGTCAGACAAGATTTTGTACGTTCAAACCTCTCATGATCCGAACAAACTAACACCACTAATGTTTTTTCTGCCGCAGCTGGACGTCCATCACGGGTTTGCATCGGCAAGATCAAACTGGGATGATCCCCATTTAGCATCAAAAGCAAGAGAAGCCTACGCCGTCATGAAGAAATTCTTCGAGAATACATTGTAGATTGCATATAAAATAGCTGTTTAGATTTCTAAGCTCTGAAAATCAAGTCTCTATTCCTTTAAGACTCTGCGCCAAAACGTTGCAGAAATCCAGGAACTGAGAAACTTCCAACACACGGAAACCTCCCTATGTTGGGGCTTCCTTGTGTCGTATCGGCTGACAAGAGGACTGATCCATCCGGCGCAGTGAATGAAAGACGTAGCTGACCAGATCCTTGTGCTTGAGCGTACACAATTCGCAACGGGTAAGCCTGCCCTGCGATGAGATATATTGTGTAGGTACCATATTCCGGCCCGCCCCCAGCATACCGGTATGAGATTTGAGTGTTAGCATTGGTGGCATTCCACCCTGAATACGCAAATGGACCAATCCATAGATAGACAGTCTCATCCACAGCATTGACTGTGAACGTGTAAATGCCCGTTTGATAGGCAAAGATATATCCGCGGTGGTTCAAGACCAAGTGGTCGCTACGTAAGAATGGTGGGGAGCCATATATACTTTGATATGTGCCTCGACCGGTATCTAAACCGCCGGTAGTGTTGGTTATGCCTTGATACACAGGAGTTGACAACTGTGATGAGATGGTCAGCAAGAGGATGTATATTTATGTCAAACGCGCTGTGGCCGAAGTTTGGCTCTTTTTCGAGCATTGCCGGAGACAACAGGCAACGAATTCTGAAGGGGTTTCAGTTCTCTAATAGCATGGGAAATGTTTACCTTGTAGTCTTCAGGTCTAAAGCTGCTATAAGTTTCGTCGGTGTTATCGCCACTAGTGTTGTTATAGTATGCCCACTCCAAGCCTTTATTGTAGCACTGCGTTGGTATCGGTTCTGGCGTAAAAATCGATGTTGATATTGAAGTTGAAGTGCGAGTAGATGTTGAAATCGAAGTCAAGTTCAACATTGGTGTTGTAGTCGACAATGAGGTTGATTTGGAAGATGAACTGGAAGTAAATGTTGAAATCGAGGTCGAGCTTAGGGTGGTTTTTGAAGTCGACATAGACGCTGAAAGTGAAGAGGTCGAATTCCAACGGGGCGGTTGTGTTGGGCAACTGTTGACAATTGATATCGATGTGATAACTATCGTTCTAGTAGACGCAGGTGCAGAAACGGTAAAACGGACTGATTTCGATACTATGCTAACAGGCGACACAGTCACGACTTTAACCGAGGTGGCCGTTGGGGTAGGGGTAGACAAGCAACGGCAGGCTTGCGATATCTGAGAATTAGCATAACCAGCGATATTCGGTGGCAGAGGATGGCCGCCATGGTCATAGCCTCTTCTTAGAAGTATCGGTGTGTAAGTGGGAATCGTAGAGATAGACGGAAGAGTGGATGTGCAAGTGCTGATGTATGTCACCCTGAATTGTTCAGCTGTGTCTATGCATATTCGGGGTTGAAAGGTGGCCCATTTGATGTGCTTTTATACTTACGCTGTCGTATAACTGGTGGCTATGGGAGTGATGGTGGTTATACCAGTAGAAATCTTAGTACTCGTCTTTGGTACTGAGGTGGTCGCTGTTATGGTTTTGGTCACGGTTGGGATGCTGAGAAAGGACTGTATGTACTGTATTAGATAGTTCCTTACTCGGATCGATCAAGACAGGGAGCGACAGCTTCCTTACCGAGCAGAATGGAGATGCAGAAGAATATGCCGTCAGAGCTTTGACTACCGCATTTACCAGCGCACATTCGATATTGTTTTTGTCTGGAAATCCGTGGGGTTCAGGATCAGGGACCGGTGATGCAGCGACAAGAAAAGGGGCAATTATGGACAGCACGGCAAGTCTCTTCGCTGTGAACTTCATGGTTAAGTAGGTTGAGTGAATTCAATCTACTAAAGTGTAAGATCTAGTGCAATCCCTGAAAATTGAACTCATAAATTGTCGAGTATCAAGACTAGTTTATATACCCCTTGAGTCCCGTGTCTAGTCATAGTATTCATTCCAATTCACCACCATATCACCACGCCTCGCAGTCGCGATCGAGCTGAGTGACCGTGACTGAGGAAATATTGGAGCGGTAAGACCCTAACCACCTTGACAGGCGCTGGAGGTAGCACAAACACGTATCTTAAGAACGCGGCTTCCTAAAATTGCAGCCATTCGATGCAAGGGGGTTCAGACAATAAGGTTGAATTAAAGATCGAAATGCTTCGGAAGCTCATTGCTATGTGAATTGTCTTGCTTGGCCACTCAAGCCGTTGGCCTAGGCCGTCGTTTTGGGATGCGTGTCTCACAGGGCTTGAGTAGCCACGCGGGAAAGGCCGGTAGAGTGTTCCCCATCAAATAAATAGTCTTCCGCAAGGCTGGCGCCAAGATAGATAAGGACTGGCACGCACAACTAGACGTCATGCCGGCCATGTCGAGGCATATTTGCTCTCTCTTCATTCCATGACCCGTGCGCCATCGGTTGCTCCCGTCTATCATGTAGGCTTTGGGCAGGGACAATCTAAACTTCCTGCCTCCAAATGGATTGAACGGCAATAACTATGTACGAAATGCTTGGTTGAGTTGCCATGCGCTATGCTGGGATTCAGAACTCAGTGCAGTGTCTTGCCGTCACTAACTTCGAGAATACGGATCCCTGTAGGTCTATATTACAACACATCTCAAATCCCATCCCTTTCGCCGTCGATTGATCAGACAACTCAAGCTTCTTCGTGCTGGTAATCGCATTGGTTCGATGTCATCACCCAAAAGGTGTAAACCTTTCAAGTAAAATACCTGCTTCGTGGCCCTCCCTTTCTAAAACAGATTTGTGTTTTTCGCTTCTGATCTGAATGATGCATTGGAATTCCTTTGGACGAATGTTGAAGCCTTCCGTATACGCAAATGTATCGTACTGTCGATTTGGAATTGGGAGGATGTCGTACGCCCATAAGAGCTTAGCAAGCGCAATGAAGAGCGAATTTGCTGCAAGATTGGCACCAGGGCAGACTCTCCGGCCCCAGCCAAAGGATGAATGGCCGCTCTTCGAGGGGTGCGGCTTACCAGACCCTTCAGTTGGACTTTTGATTCTATTGGCTATCGCATCGTCAAAGAACCGTGGCGGATTGAAGTGATGAGGATTGGGATAGTACTCCTCATTGAGGTTGATAGCCCACGAATTACCCAGGATTGTTGTGCCTGCTGGTATGTAATAACCGTCGTAGTGATCGTCTTCTGTGGATGCATGTGGTGTACCACCTAGGACAGCTACAGGACGCCATCGCAGCACCTCCTTCACCAATGCCCTCATATATGGTAAATTCGCTTCATCTTCAAACACCGGTGTGCGATTCGCCCCTACTACACTGTCCAATTCGTCGTGCGCAGCTTCAAGAGTCTCCGGGTGTGTTATTAAAGCTAAGAAGGCGGAGCACATTGTTGATGCAGTTGTATCGGAACCTGCCCCAAACAGAGAGGCCGGAATGAATGAGAAATCCCGATCTGACAATGGGATGTTGGATGTTTCTCTCATTTCCAGAAGCAGTTTGCAGAGAGAATCGGGAAGCTTCTCCTTTTCGTCCTGTGTCTTGGCTTTTACAATGTCTCCGCGAACAAGATTAACCAGTGCCATATTGGCAGCGGCTTCTCGTCTACCGTGTTCTTTGATGTCCTTCTTCCAAGGCGCCAGGGTATCTGGCACATACTTCAGCCAGGGAAATGTTTCCACGAGATATTTCCCAGGTACATTTAGTGAAGCTGAATATTGCATAAACTCGAACCGCTGACGAATGACCTCGGCATTGAGAGAATCTATGCGATGACCGTACGCAACACAAAAGACGACACTCGAGGTGAAAGTCTCGATGAGTTTCACCCAGTCTGCTGGTCTATCAAGAAGTCTCAAAGCAAGCCGCGACGCCTCCGCTTCTTGCACCGGTTTGTAAATCCTCAATGCTTTGGGGGTCAATGCCGTGTGCAAGAGTCTTCTCCTCGTGCTCCATCCTTTTCCGTATGGCTGGACAAGAATGGATGCCCCGTCCCACAATATTTCTCCCATGGCCACCATTCGTGGCCTTGATGAATATTTACTACTGCGAACCTCCATGAGTTCTGCAGCGATGACAGGATCTGAGATCACTACCGTCGGGTGCCGACCAATCCAGATGGTGAAGATGGGGCCATATACCTTGGACCATTCTTGAAATTGCACCCATGGTTTATGCTTCGGAAGTTGGAACTTATTTCCCAAAAAAGGAAGGGGCGCTGGCCCTGGAGGCATCCGATACCAGAGAACGGCATCATAAAGGAGAGTGATCAACGGTGTTGCAACGATCAAGGAGAACCACACGTAGAGTGGCCAAGATGTCGGATACAATATATTGAAAGTCATTTTCTCGCAATGCGTGATTGCAAACAAATAGGTGAAGTAGGAACAACGGATAAGGAATATTGTGACAATACCTTGCCAAAGCGAAATGATGCGATGCTGCTTCAAATCAGGCGCTGCGGCTCTCATTTCTAAGAACCGCACCGAATTTGACGAAGCAGCGCTGGTCTGGGTGCTTCTCCGCATCTGCTAAAATAGCTGAGTTCGGCAATTGTCCGTATGATGCTATTCCATAGACTTAGGTATACCGAAGCGGGCCGGCGTCGGGGCACTGGTTTCCCCGCATGCAGCCGTACGGTGGAGGGCTGCACTCTTTTTTCGGAACGTGCACATATGGCACGCGACACATGCGGCACACCTGACCCAGAACAGTCAATCGCTGGCTCTTAACTTGATAGAGATTGTTGCTGTGTTTCGCATGTAAGGCTCCTTGTTGAGCCGCATACCCCAACAGGGTAAAGTTCAGGTCAGCCCAAGCATGTCATTTGAATACAAGCATTACTGCTCGGTTCGTAACAAGAAATAATAGTAGGTTCTTGTAGCTTCTCATTGATTCATGTTCCTAAAAGAACAAAGTTGTCTCGGTCGTCAAATTTTCTCGTACAATCCATACCCGCAGTTGCAAGACCGGTTGAGAGACATGAGGTCATCGCTTTGTTCGCGCATGCGTATTATGTCAACATAAACACCATTCCCATGAGATTTTGAAATCCGCGAAGATCGCCCAATTTGCTAATATAATCGGTGTAAACAGAATGAGGTTTTAGGCTGCAGTGGCAAGATGGTTAGTGTGAAAATACCTGATGGCCAGTGCCAGGACATAACTTCTCCACGATAACTTCAAGAGGCATCTCTCAAAGAGGTATGATATCGTGTTAGCACCGGAACTAAATACTGGCGCCGGATTTGCAGGCAGTGGGTCTGTGAATGAGAGGCAGCTCATCCCCTGTCACAAGGAGTGAAATTGGCAATACAACACAGGGAGGAAAGCATACGCTAACCAATCTTCTTGGCTGCAAAATATACCAACTACCCTGGGCTTCTGGCATCATGTCTAGTATCTGTGGCTGCACATGGATTGCATGCACTGGTGGATTTGAACCTTGCTAGGGTGCAAGTCTGTGCTCCCTGACCGCCTATACCCTTGTCGGTCTGTGGGATATCCTACCGGAGGTCTTCACAACACCGATGCTTCCTTAGACAGAGATAAAACCCTGGGTCTGCCAACGTAAGATGTTTGAAAACAGAGTTTGAGCTTACCTGTTATTTTCGATCACCTCCTCAACACACTATACGAATCATGGCTTCTACCGGCAAACTGGAGGCTAGCAGCCCCCTACCTCTGACCACGGAGCAACTGACGGCTGAGTGGTTCACAAAAATCCTTGGACGCGAGGTCACAAACGTCACCATTGGAGAAGTTATGCATGGTACGGCATCGAAAATCCTCGTCGAGTTGACTTACAAGGACCCTGCCCCTGGAGCACCCACTCATGTCTGCGTCAAGGGCGGCTTCAATCCCCAGCTGCTGGCTCTGCACCCGGCTCTATTTGCCGTGTACCGCCTCGAAGCCGAATTCTACCATTACATTGCCCCAACAGTGAAGATGCTTCTATCGCCCTCGTACTACAATGGTGTTGATACCAAGAGTGGACAGGGGATTGTTGTACTTCAAGACCTGAAGGCGGCGGGATACACGTTTGGAGATCCCCTGGAGCCGTTCCCAGTCGACCGTGTCCGCAAAGGTGTTGAAGAGCTCGCAGCCTTGCATGCGTTAACCTGGGGCGGCAAGCAGGAGGACTTCCCGTGGTACTCGCCCGGCCTATCTCTTCGTGATGTTATCTCATCAATGTTGGTGCAGTCAGAGTGGGACAAGCGCTTCCTAGGCGACGCCCGCCCGCCTGTAGCGGATTACCTGGTAGATCGTGAGAGGATTATTGCGGCATACCAGACCTTGTGGAGTACGACAGACCCGAGACTGCGGTGCATCCTGCATGGTGACTCGCACATCGGCAACACGTTCGTGACACCTTCAGGGGAGCCTGGTTTCCTGGACTGGCAGGGCATACACATTGGCTCGGCAATTCATGACATTGCCTATTTTATTACCGGCTCCCTAACCATTGAGGACCGAAGGAACAACGAGATAGAGCTATACCAGCACTACCTTGACTCGCTACATAAAGCTGGTGGTCCCAAGTTTGAGAGGGAGGAAGTGTGGGATGAATACAGAAAACAGCAGCTCCACGGCTTTGCGTGGGCTCTCACAGGCCCAATGATGCAGACCAGGGAGAGGGTGGACATCATGTCCGAACGCCACAGCGCCGCCATTGTTGATCACAAGAGTCTGGAGCTGCTTGAGGCAATGCCAGAGCACCGCAAGGCTTGAGGCGATGGTCACAGACACCATGTCTAGTGCGAGTCTAGTTAGTTAACCGTTGGGCTTTTGAAACACGCAGGGTCTGATATGCGAATCCTTTTGACTCTAGTTCCAAAAGTGGTTAAATTGATAGTTCTCCCCTTTCATGGAAATAGCGGTAAGGCGAACATGAGATCAGCAAAATGGTGGCTGTCACTGGTCAGGGTTCTCAAATAAAAGTCGTTCGATGAATTCGAACTCCAATCGCAGTAACTAAAAACGCCATTCCTCTAGTGCCGGCGAACCGTGCCACATTTGAGCGTGGCAAACGACGAGGCATGCTTCGGCCAGGGGGTCAAACTTTTAGGTCCTCGTCGACCGTTCCTGAAGGACGGGACTACGCGTTGCAGGCTCCACCCCTGACAAAAGCCCGGGGGAGGTATCACCAAGATCTGCATCAGTCGCCCTTTCAATATCAACTCAATATGAAGACTCTGATGGCCAATCCGAGGCAAGCGGGTAGCAGCTTCGTGAACTCGGGGCTTGAGATTGCGACTTTCTGACTTGTGACCGATTCCTAGTGATATTTGACGGAGCATTTCTCGCTGCAGATGCGGCCGCCAGTGCGCTCCCGTATGACAAGCGGATACTAGGGTTGGCTCCATAACCCTAGGACCCTACCATGTTCTAGGTCCCTTGTCACTTTGCCCATTCAATTCATGCTCTTCTCCACTAGCTTCATTCGCCAAAGCCATTAATCCTGCTACGATAGTGGTCAAGTCTTTCGGCTACAGGCTTGACAGCTTCTAGACACCTGGACTGAACTAAGGGTCTGAGTATAGGAGACAATGACAATAGCACTTAGGGATTAGTTATCATGAGCTTCCCGTTCTGCGTCTCAAAAGCGCCATTGTAGGAGAATTTGAGGAGGTGAAAATTCTTCCTCCGGCCGCCTTCAGGGATCAGATATTAGTCTGAATGACCCAAGAATAGCCCCCAGGCCAAAGTCATTGAAACCAGCGAATTCTTGCATTGCCCCATCCGCTAGGCTCTGCCCTGGCAGGCCTGGCCTGATTCGTTCTTCTAACTCGAATGCTTTAGGGCGTGTAAGGTACTGGAAGATTGCCGGGGAACCAAAGGGGAGAGGGGCCGTCAAGCGGCCAGGACCGTTGAACACCCACATCCCATTAGTACCCGTCCTATTCCCCCATGGCTCGATGCGACTTGACTATGGCTCCAAAAAGGAAAGATCTTCAACTCCAAGGGGCTCTATGAAAGCCCAGTTGAATGGCCACGGCTATAAGTCCCCAGTATGAGAGCCATCCTCAAAAGACTCTAATTCTGCCTTAGCTGTCGTCGATTCTTCACGCCACAAGTCAACACCGAGGGAGTTCAAGTGACACAGCTCATCGAAGAACGGTATCACGATGGCTGAAGAAGTCGGCCTCATGCCGGCCCCTGAGGGCGTGACACCTGACTTTCACAGCATCACTCAACTACAACGAACAGTCATCACAGTCTACTCTGTGACTTTCGCCTTGGCGACTATTTTGATGGCGTTGAGGTTATATACTGGTGCCTTTATTGTGAGAAAGCTGGGTCTCGATGCTCGTGAGTCTTCGTAGTCAACCCCGCGTCCTACACTCAGCGAGGCTAATCATGATGAAACAGCTCTTATTCTTCTATCATGGGCGGTATCGCTTGCGTTTTTCATTGCCATGGTTCTAGGTAAGCCTCAGCACTTAAATGCCAATATGAACATTATCGTCTCCAAGAGCAAAGCTAACAAAGGCAGCAATGCCATCTGGTTTCGGTAGACATCTGTATGCTGTCACAGCAACACAGCTGACAGGTTACTTGAACGTATGTCTAGATCCAAGACCGCCTTACATACCCCATGCTAAACTCTATGTCACTGATAATAGCTTCTTCTTGTCCTCGCCATCACGTACATCTGGCCCCCAACCCTCGCAAAATTGGCCATCGTGGTTCTTTATCACCGAATCAATCCTTCATTGACTTTCCGGATTTGCTGCTACGCTGTTGGTGCTGCGCTATTTGCGTATACACTCGTGTTCACCATCCTCTTCGCCGGTCCTTGCAATCCTTTGACGACTGGATCAGGGCAATGCCTCAATAACATCGCTGTCGCGCAGGCAGTCCTAAACATTGTGACAGATGGCATTCTCATCATTCTTCCGATTCCCATGATTCACAAGTTGAACATGCCCCTGAAGCAGAAGCTTCTTGTTGGCAGCATTCTCGTTCTAGGATCTGGGTTCGTCATTCCTCCCCAATCATATCCACTGTTGCGGTACTCCTCGAGCCTTTTAGCTAACTTGGCGTTTCTAACAGTGTCATCCTTGCTTCTATTGTACGAGTTTCGTACGTACAGGCTATGCAGAACAACCCCGATGTGACGCATACGCAGGCAGCAGCAGCCGTTTGGTCGTGTGTCGAGCTGAATGTTGGAATTATCTGCAATTGTCTAGCCATGTTGAAGCCGTTTGTCCGACGTCACATGCCATGGCTGTCCAGCCTCGTCGGGGGTGGAACCGAGCCGGCCTCATACAACAAGCAAGCCAGCGGCCCAAACACCGGGGGCGCGTTTTCCAGCGGCTGGCGAGCCGATGGTGTCAACCACAGTTATCAGCTACACAGCGTGGACCGAGGTCGGGATAGCCCCATGGATAAGAACGCCGTCGTTATCGTCGACGAGTTCCGCGTGCGTTATGACAGGAGAAAAGATACAGGCGATGCGTCAAGCACGGAGGACATTCTGCCAGCCGACTTGGAGCACGCACGTCCAAGGGACTAAGATGCTTCCCAAAAAGAATAATAAAGTGAACGCGTTCACACACAAAGCCTCGCCGCGGCAGGGTATCTATAGAGTGGACCATATGGTCTACTGTATTTGTATTAGTACCTTGTATACTTCACTACATTGTCAAGCTAGCAAGCTGAGAGCCATGTCTAGTTTCTAGAACTGTTCTTGATAGCGTAATTGCAGCAGACTCTGTCGTTTTGAGTTGGTCGAGTACGGAGCATTGCCGACTCTGAAGATACCCGGTCAGCTATGCGGCTTCGAGATATTCAATATACGAGTCAATGATATCAAAGACGAGTTAAGATAGCATATGCATAATCAACTGTATTCTTGGTACAACTACCCTGTAGATTCTCTACGTGTCGCGAGGCTGTAGAAGCCATGTATTGTGCTCCACCACGAGAAACCTCGATATCGGTTATGAAATTGAAGTAAAGTTGCCAAGAGGTCTGAATAAGGAACAATAAATTCTTATGAACAATTATGCGATTGCCTCCGCATTGGTATCATGTCTGCATGTTTTCTATCACTGTATTGCGTTATGATTACCTTACAACGTTCTTGACTAACGTGCATTTTTCTACACCCAATCGAGCAGGCCGAATTTACCTATGACAGTGACATATGCATGCGTTTGCATAGATTCATAGTTGCTCCCCTCGGACGGTACGTCAAAACAAGATTTTCGAATAGGCTATTCCGCGTTGATCACCTAACTACTTCGTGATCACTGACCCTCGTCTCCGACCGACCGCGGAAAAGAAAAACAATTATAGAAAACTAGCTACAAAGCTACTCGTTTGCTATGACACTAAGACTTATCTTTGCTGAGTCAATAGACCTCAGATTATATTTGGCTGATATTTTACAATTTAGGTTCATCAGCGTCCTCTAGATTGTCGTATTTGAGTCCGGCTGTATCTGAAGGCTGTCCTGCTTTGTACACGAACCTATATACCCAAGCTTCGTCGCGCTAACTCAGCCAAATAAAGGATAATCTTGCCGAATCTATGGATAAAAAGGGAAGTATACTATGCAGTAGGACAGAACTTAGAGCACGGCCATAGGGCTAGAGCCTATACTATTTCGATCATGGTTTGCGAGGCTTGGATGGAACAAGCAATCCGTGGATCTTCTGTAGTATATCAAAACGGGGGCCATTCATTGGGTCACACTTAATCAATAAGGCATGCAGCAAGGGTATAATGAACATGATAGATAAATTGAAGCTAGTACTCCGTTAAATCATGATGGCCAAGCTAGTTGCGTAGCTTTGAGCCAGGCACACTCTCCTTCGGTGCCGTTGTGTCTTGCGAGAGCAAGCTCCTCCTATTTTCATAGTCTAGTATTCTGTACAAGGATTGATCCGCGATATCTCGCGAGGTCCAAAGTAAGAAGGGTGTGTGAGCATTCAAGCTCCTAAACATGTCAACCACTCTCGTGGAGTGCGACAGGTATCTCTGGAAACGCCAGTGCTAAAACCATAACATCATCGCCGAGCAGATCCCATATAAATCATCGTCATCATCATATACACGATCAGTGATAGCCAAGCTTAGGCCTGGCCGACCATTTGCATGCGCTGGCGCACGACAGCGCGCTGCATCTCGCTGACGTTCTCGATCAAGCCCTTGCGTTCTTCCTGTAACGCGAGACGCTCCTCCTCGAGGGCACGGATGCGCCGTCGGGCCATGTCTAGAACTTCAGCCTTACTCATCCTCTTGTCGTCGGCATCGGATGAGGAGCCGCCCTTGATGTGGTGACGATCGCGTGCCTCAGCCTGCTGGTCAGCCGGGAGCACGGCAAGCAGACGCTCGAACTGCATGTTGAGGCGGTTGCGATATTGTTTCTCGACAGCGTTGTGGCTCTGGCGTGCACGCTTCTCCTCGTTGGTCAGGGCTTCGTCGTCGTCATCCTCCTCTTCTGCGGGTGATGAGGACTTCGGAGAGGCATTGGTCTTGGGCTTTCGGCTTGCGGTGCGCAGCTGGATGTTGTGGTTACCTCCATGACCGCTAGTGGCCGAGGCGGCAGCGGCAGAAGCGGAGGCTGCCTTGGAGGACTTCGAGGACTTTGGCTTCGATTTGCTAGATGACTTCTCTTTGGATGCTTTAGCAGTGCTAGCTTTGCTGGAGCACTGCTTCTTAGATGGCCGGGAAGGCTCCGATGCAATGGTGGAGGTCTCGTCAGCTCCTCGCTTGGAAGAACTCAGGGACTCGTTGTCGGTTTCGGTGCCGAGAGCGGCAGGGGAGATGAACTCGTCGTTGAAAGATCCAAGCTCGGGGCTGCTAAGATAGCTACCACTGCTATACGTTGTGGATGAAGGTGCTAGGGGCACTGTGTATGTGGGTGCAGTGGTACCGATGGTAGTGGACCAGTCCATCAGATCATTGCCGCCGGTCTTTGTGCCGAAACCCGCATCGAAGCCTTGTGCGCTGAGAGTTCCGGAACCGGACGGAAAGCCGAAGTAGTCATATGACTCCTCACCAAAGTAGGCATCAGGAGAATAGGAATAATCTCCGTTCAGGTTCCAGGACATCTCGTTCGAACTTCCAAACTGATCTTGAGAATCAAGAGTCGGTGTCAATGGAGACATAGAGGTCTGTAAGTCAAAAACATTGTTAGCGTCTCAGTTGCGCAGAAATATGCGAACCCCAATTGCAGGCTCCAACAGATAAGTGTTTCTGCAGAACAACTTATTCAGGAATATGCCACTCGGCACTATCCCCGGCCGTAAAAGATTTTGCTGGAAAAGCTTTACGGTACCGTCGTCCCCATCTGGCTGCTCAAAACTCCTCGGCACAACGTTGCGACCGAAGGGGGCTTGCACTTGGCCCAACTGAATGGGTAGGGGGAGATCGTGGACTCGGCGGCAGCTCCGACGGGCCAGGAATGGGCTCAGGGGCTCTAGTTGGTCCCCAGGCGTCCCGTCTCGGCAGGCTGCCTCCAAGTCTCACTGAGTTTAGGGCAAGCCGCAGCAGCGGCCTTCTGATCACCTGAGGCCTTTCGAGTGGCTTAAGAGTGGCTTCTAGGGTTTTTGAAAACCCTCCAGCGCGATGGCCCAGAGACTGACCACAACTCCTCGCTAATCTGTGGGAAGCACACTCTTGGGCACTGAAATCTGGTGATCGGGCTGCCGCCAGTCCCAAAGAGCTACAGCTCTAAAGGACCCGTGACTCAAAAATCTCCAGACACTCGCAGGAGGATGGCTCGTAATTAATGGGGATTGGTTAATCTTACTTTGAACATCTCCAGATCCAGGTCGTTGGAGAAATAGCTTGATGTAGAGTCCATGTTGATGATGACTAGCTACTATGAGATTGGGAAGCGTATCGTACGAGTTGATGGATGTTATTATTGTGGCAACGGCGTGACTCGCACACTGCAGCAACTCTTGGAGAGGAGAGATATTTTGGATGGAATGGCAAGGCAAGCAAGTCTGTGCCAAAAGAATCTCTTGATACCTCGTGTGATGTTTATGGTCTCGACCAAACTACGGCCTGATGTCGATGTACTGCCTTTAATCAGATCACTCTACCAAGCCAACCTCTGTCAGAGTGACGTCGGCTGATCAGTGCATTCTTTATATACTCTGACAAGGAACATTCATCCTTCGATGGGCTTGCCGTTAGCAGCATCGCTGGTGGCATCCGAGACCGAGAATAGCGCTCGGAAGGGAAGCTGGGTGAGGATCTGAGGCGCATGATTGGTCGGTTGGGTCAGCTTCGCAGACAATCTCGAAGATCCCCAACAAGCCTAGAAGCAGTGATATCATTTAGGGGTCCTCTTGTTAGGTTTGGCTCATGACGCCACTGAGTTTGTCGTGGTGCCACTCGGCCGATCGAACGATGCCTGGGCGTTCTGGATCGTGGGAGAGACCCATTGAAGCTCGGCGCCGGGGCTCGTCTGGCAGGGTCTCCCGCGAACGAATTGATAAGATTTCGCTAAGCGTGCACATTCCACAGCTCTGATTCGCTGTCTCAGCCCCTGTCGCTCTCCAAGCGATCGAACGTTCATCCTTTTACGGACAGGGGGCTGGTGAGCCCACCCACAGAAGAGAGTGGCACCACTTCTGTCAATCTGCACGAGGCCAGGCCTCTCACCTCGCAGGCCCAGGGACGGTATTCGCAGTTTCCCATTCAGTTTACCAGCAGACCGTCTTATGGTCTCTACACACGTATGACCACGGTAATTATCTGGGGTTGCGCAGTACATCGTTGGTCCCTTAAAATACGAGACGATTCCCAAATAGTAAAAGAAGCGTGATTGTGACTGTCATGTTGCGGTCTGCGCCGTGCGATTTGCTTCAATCTCGTACATAATGACACCCGCGACGCCGTGTTATTCCCTCAAGCGTCCGCCCGCGCTGATGCCTCACCGCGCCCGGTGAGCAACGTGACATGGTGATCACTTCAAAGGCAAAACAGCCCTAATTTTCCCTTAAAGCACGACAAAGACAGCGGCCCCCAAGGACACCTCGCCGAAAAGGAATTCCGCATACAGTTCCAGGAATGGGCGCTGGCAGGTTCCTCTACTCCAAAAGGTTGCGGCAGAGTGAGATAAGATGGAATGCGACTCTGCGATTATGATCTACAACATTTAGTACACCACGGCGAGACGGTAGCAATCCGACGAGACATCATTATGCACATTCCAGAAATAGGTTGGCGGGCCTGCTCGCCTGGACGCTGGGCAGACGATATGAGTTCACCACTTACAAGTCCAGTGGTGGGCAGTGCCGAAAACCAAACCCACGAAACGCGTATCACTCTTCACCATCTCGAGAGTTGGCGGCGGTCGGCGATCGGTGGTACACCATCCGAGCTACCCGGGCTGTCAATTTCACACTGACAACTGGCGCCGGCGCATCGCGATGCACATAGCGGAATCAATCCGGGAAACCTAGGTGATGGGCAAGCTACTATGCAGTAAGGAGCAGTCAATTGATTGGCTAGAAAGGAAGCCTTGATCGTGGTAGATCAAGAGCGACAATGGCCCAGGCCCCCCTTTCTCTCCCTCTTCACCCTGCCGTGGACTCCTAGGGCGCGCCTACAGCCCCTAGGGATGCTGATTCGCACTCAGTAAACCCTACCCAGAAAACGTTCCTATAACTTCAAGATGGCCCAGTTGGCCTTCTTCCAACGCGCGGGACGCACCCGACCGTTCGCGACCGGCACAATCGGTTCAGTCGGAACATCCGGTTCATCATCTCACCGGTTACGGCTACAAAAGATACTCCGACTTATATTGACGCGAATGCGCCGAGCACGAGGTTCAGAACCGAGGCGCAATCAACTGAACTTGAAGGAGGACTCTTTCTCGTTTGTCTACGACGGCCATCGCCTCCGAGGAGCGAAACGTCTAGTGGAGAGAGTACCGCCAGCATGTGGAGGTGTGGCTTTGCAAATCGCTTCTATGAGCTTTCCCTGTGCTACCCACGTTTCTTACGTTTCGAAAAACTTCGACACCGCTCGCTTTGGCCCCCAGTCCATTGGAGACGGAGGATTACGGCTAATCTCGATGACTCCCTTGATAACTCTCCTCACATTCTCACACCCTCTGAAATCCAGCCAGTCCGGATACAATCGCCACAGATTGAGGCACCATGATGTCCAGCCATCAGTGCGGCCACCCACCGTAGAACCCCAGGAATCGCCGATAACGAGATGTTCGTGAAAACGAAACGTGCGAAACGAGATTTGACCCAGTTCCGCGAAATCGTGAACTTCCTTACTCGTGTTTTGATCTTTGACTTGACGTTATGGATAAGAGGCGTAGCCCGGTTTAAACAGCTGAGGACACTAGTTTCGTCTGGAATGCCCCCGAGAAACCTTGTACCCTATCGTGAAGCATCCGCATGGCCAATCTGGAGTTCCGCCTTTTGATCTTCTCCTAATGACAACAGTTTACCTAATCTCGTCCGCACTAACCCACTAACTAGCAGCACAGCACAGCACAGCTCGTTACATGCGACGACACAGAATATCGACTACCGACCGGGTCCGGCCCCGGTTCGCACGGTGGCCGCGATCGCGAAGGTTTGGTTTGAGAAACCTTGAAACTTCGAAGGAACGGATCCGCGTGTCCACAGGTTGATCGGCTCGCCGACGGACGATGCACCAAGCGGCCAAGGCACTATCTCCTAAACTCTCTTTGAAGGAAGCCCCTCTCGATAGAATTCACGAGGTCAATCCTTGCATTTTATTTTCCAAACCTCAATTGATCCTTCTTTTACGGCCCCGATCGCATACCTTTTCCTCGATCGAATAGGACAGGTGTACAGACAGCATGAATATACACAGCGAACCCTAGCAAGCGCGAAGTTGGCGATGTTTTCCTTACTGGTTTCTTCCACGACAGACATGACGACGAAGCAGAAAAAGTTCACCACCTCTTGCATCATCACGACTGCATTTACCACGCCCTCCAGCATGTGAAATCCGTCCCAATTCCTCGATTTATGCAGCTCCCCGCAGCGTGCTATTCCCCTCCATGGCCAACCTCATTGGGCCCTACTTGCAGTTCTTATTCCCCGGATCCCTGTTTTCTCCACCGTATATTCTCCACTTGTGGCTCCACCATGCCGGCGCGAGCACAAGAAAGATGCATTACCAGCATGGATGATGGGACGAGCGGAACGGACGCGGAACGTCACTGACTCCTAGAAACGGCAGACGCCTTGACGGCCAGCAACGGCCACCGAACGGAGTGATCACAGAGAGCTCGCACAGAGTTAGAAGGCAGATGCGAGACGGTTATTACTAGGGTATGAAGCGTGAGAGAGCTGCACACGGCCTGCAAAGCGACCTTCAGGATTGCTGAGTGGATGAATTGAAAGGAATGCCAACAGCCACAGCCCCCGAAACGGAAATCCCACCCGGGTTGTGACGAGTTTTTGGCGGTACCCGAAGCTAAGGGATCAGATCATGTTGAGAAGGCACGGCCGAGATGTGAGGGGGATCAGCCTTTGCCGGATACGGGAAGCCGGTGGGACGCAATGGACAGGGGAAAAAATGATAGATGTGGGCACCGTATGTTGGGCAGAGAGCAAGGCGGGTTCGGCCGGGCGGCATCGGTCTTGGATGGTTCGCTATGGCGCAGACAAGCGAATTGAAAAGCCTTTGTTGATTGGGTCAGTGACAGTGGCATGCTTCATTTCTGGATTGCAGTATGCGTCTGTGTCGTGAAATGTCAGGTAACGCCACGCAAGTAATTGTGCTCCGCAGGTCTCAAGGCCATAAATGAACCACCGAACGTCACTTATCATAAATGATGGATTTGATTAATCCCTGGAGTTTAGCTCTTGGCTTGTAGCAAATATCGCATTGCCAGTGAGCTACGCCTCTTATTGTGATTGAATGGGTTGTCATGTGAAGATTTACAAGAGCCTCTTGATGTGGCAATCATACGAGGCAAAGAACTACAAAATACCTTGCACCTGAGGAAGTTAAAGAGATTCTTATATGATTAGAAATTCAAAATCAAGAAATTGTCATCATGTACGAGTTGTGGTCGTGTCTTGTGATAGACTCAAGACACTTCCAAACTGAAAACGCTCTCTGGTCTAATGCCAAGTTGTCGAACCATCAACTTTATGTCATATTGAGACTCTAATGTCTCTTGGCTATCTATCGATCAATGTCAACCACCTCCTCTATACAACTCCAAAGCTTGTTCGGAAGTATCCTGTGAAGACACTTGATCACCATCCTCGAGTCTCTCTGGTAGACTTTGTGGTGGCCCTAGTGCTCGTTGATGTTTGTCAGCCCTAGCTAGATCAAAAGTATCACATCATGATATCACGTACATTCTCGGAATTGAAACTGGAAAGCTTTCCAGCTCATGACCTTGCCGCCTAGACCTTCAAGTGCGAGCCGCTAGATCTTCACTTGGAAGCCGTCGCTCTCCATACTGAGTTCCACTGGTGACTGGCCATCCTTGATCTGTGCCCACAGCGCTACTCCATAAGGCTTGTGGAGGAGGACAGGCTCTGGCTTTGTTATGATGAATGTCGGCGAAGCTGTATTCTCGTTCCGTCTTTGTTCTTCCTTTTCGATCTTCAGAAATACAAGCGCTTTACATGCATCTGCAGTTCCGGGAATTACAGACTCTGGAAGACTATGGCCTTCCAGTATCTCTAAGAGGTCCTGGCGGGCACGATATCTCGTTAGTGCATCTTCCTCGCCTGGTTTTGCCTGTTTCTTTCTCATGCGCTCTGCGCTGCGTGTTCTCTTTCTAGCAACAGACGTCATATTCTGACCCCTAGCATAATTGAAACGTTTGGCTCGCTTGAATTGGAAATTGCCAATTTTCTTCTCATGACTTGGGAAGTTTCCAGGTGCAGTTCTATTATATATTTCGATAGTGACTCATTCAATGACATATTGATACAATAACAGGAATTATTGTCCTTGAGTTCGAAGTCTTTGATTATGACTAAGTGATTTATCCTCGTTAGAACCATCATACACATACATTACGTACATTAATGTGGTATAGTGACTAATTCGTTAAAAATCTTTTGAACCTACTCATCTCGGTAATGTGTGTCGTGTGTGAAAAGAGTCGGCGCGAGAGACAAATCTAGAAATCGAAGCTAGGACAAATCGGAACCATGAATAACATTGGCTTCCGTTCACATTCTCTCTTGCTCAAGACCATGAGAGGATTGAATATATACTGCCGGAAGAATATATTTAGGTCTTGAGGAGTTCCATAACATGCGCTGCACTCTTTACAGTTCCACGTTACTGTGCTCATGAGCGTTGAATGGCGTCACTCGCTGTGATTATTTGTTGACTAACGAGAGCAAGAGCACAGAATTTAAGCCTGATCTCCGTTATCAGACGAACAACATATAACTACTGCATGACACACCTACGCGACACGCAGTGCTGACAATCCTATTTGACCATGATTCATTTGAGGATCAGCCAGCGCATGCAGCACGTTGAAATCACCGTCAAGTACTGTCAATTCATGCAACGCACTCACGGCTTAATACAAGACTGCGATGACCACATCTAATACAGCAGTGCGAATAGCTAGTTCAGGGTCAACAATTGTTTTTAATAACAGAGCAAACATCATAGCTCTCAATTGTATAGTCACTCAAACAGTCTAACTTCATCAACCGAGCTACCTAAAGTGGCGATCGAGTTTGAACATCGACGACCTTTGTCCAGGGATTGTTCCTCAGGTGGGTCGCCGCCAGACCGAAGATGATACTAGTTCCTTACTTCTTTATCTTCTACATGCAATTCGAGGCCATGTGGACTGAGGGACGTCTAGCAACATGGCAATTCAATCGCATTCGTCTCCGGAATTCGTTGCCGTGCTGAACAACAATCTGTTAGGACGCGATAAGCTTGCAAATCAGTGCTAGCAAGCTCCAACACTATACAGAGATAATTCCCGCAAAACCGGTGAAAGTGTAAGCCGTAAAGCACTTATAGATCTGGCCTCTTTCGGCGTGCGGCACAGTTTGTGAATACCTGACTAGTAACTGTTATTGTCCGAGTTTAGATTGTCGTAGTTGATATCTCGGAGTCCAACTCGGAGTCCAACTCGGAGCGCCTTGTGCCAAGACCATGTGCAATCATTGCTTCAAAGCATCTTTCGAAAGGAGTCTTCTTGTACATTCAGCTTTACGTTGAGTCTGTCAAGGATGCTAGCAATCAGCATACCTGGTATTCTAGCTAATTGCTCTCTCTATAAGAGCTCACGTGCCTTTGTTCCTTCCGTGAAGGTACTTACTAACGGCACAACATCTTAGATACCTTTGTAGCTATGAAGACACTTAAAGAAGGTATCTGGCCTCTCTGCCAAGACCCATGATGCCTTGCTCTCTTATCCAGACAGTTCTGAAGAAGCACTGATTAGTGATTCGATCAGGATGCGCTCCAAGGCCATTGCCACTGCCATGGCCACACTGCTTGTGGCCATCTCGGTTCATGCCGACCACACTGAGCCATGTGCCAGACCTGGCTCCCAAAGATCTATTGCTAACTTCAAAGACAAGATCAAGACTGTTGTGTTCTTGATTATGGAGAACCGCTCTGTCGATAATCTAATGGGCGATCAAAACGTGAAAGGGCTCGACATGCCTCATTTCAACGGACCGTTTTGCAATCCTATTGATATCAACAGCCTAGACAAGAATAGAGTTTGTAGTTGGCCGACCCATTAAAACACCATGTTAGATGATCCGGATTACTCGATTCGTGGTAACATTATCGAGTTCTTTTCGACTTCCATCCCAGATAACGATGCCGTTGCCAATGGTACTCTGACGCCCTACATGCAGGGCTTCATCTGGGAACAGACTCGACTCTATGGTGAGAGTGGTAGCAGGAATGAAACTCAATTCAAGAAGTTATGAATTGCTATACAGAGGACCAAATTCCTCTCATCACGTATCTTACCCATAACTTTGCAATCTTCAACCACTGGCATTCTGACCTTCCCGGTGCAAGTGTTACTTTTCTGTTTTAGATGTGAAAAGTTGTGATAATGTTTCCTTTAAGCCTACTGAGCCTAATCGTCTGTACTCATTATCTGAAACTTCATGGAGTATGGGTAACAACACATTTCGATCACGGCAGCATCCCAGCCCGCCCCATCTTCCAGGCAGTCGACGAGACAGGATTGACGTGGAAGAACTACATCTTTGGCAGTAAGCGACCTTTGGGGTTTATTTTGACCTCTTTTAGCTATCTTTGGGACATTAGAGACAAAGAGACAGTCCGAATCTAGACAGTTACTCTGGAGATATCTCTTTCCAAGCCTTTCACTGCTCTTTCTATGTACTTAAAAATCAATGATTGACTCCAATGTTGTAGCGCAATATTACACGTGGCAACATTGTCAGCATCAGCGAATTCTACACAGACGCAGCAGCAGGCACGCTCCCGAATTTCACCTATCTCACCCCAATTGTTGTGGCGTTGGCACAAACTCCACGCATCCCACCGGCCTCATCAGTGACGGCAAAACATACCTCAAGGGCATCTACGAGGCGCTACGTGCTAGCCCACAATAGAACGAGACTCTTTGGGTGCTGACCTTCGACGAGACGGGCGGTTTCCACGACCATGTCCCACCGCCTAACGCCGTCCGGCCTGATAACCTAGCATATACCGAGACGGTCCCCACGGGAGAGAACTACACCTTTCGATTCGATCGTCTTGGCGGGCGTGTACCTACCTGGCTGATATCCCCATGGGTGGCTCCTCGCGTTGTTCAGAAGGGCCTAAATCGTCTCGGGGAGACAGCCTCCTACTCGGCGAGTTCGCTGATCAGTACGCTTGCGTATCTCTGGGACTTTGAGCCGTTTAATCCGCGCGTCGGGCACGCTCCGATGTTTGGCCATCTCATCTTGAGGCAGATGCGAGATACGCCCGAGACATTACCGGATGGCATTGACTTCAAGTGAACAGGCTTGAGTCGTTGGTTTTCTGGCGATGGGCTACGAAGCCGTTTGTGAAGAAACGGAACCGGCCATCGTGTGTGTGGGATGTTTAGTTGACGTGCTCCAATGTCATGGAAAAGGTTCTTGTCTCGAAGGCTGTTATGAAAATAGTCATGGCGCGCGTCTGAAAGAGCCATCACGGGAGTGAGAAGAACGGGAAGTAGTATGATACTGGGGCGAGCAATACATAGCTGCAAGAATCATGACCTCTAGCGGTGATGAGTCTACCGTGTTCTAGTCCATGGAAATCGAAAATAAGGGCACATAAAGCTAGGTCATTGCTCTAAATGGCTGCTCTGATATATGCATTACTGGCGAGACACGACGACAGCGACCCTAGTCAAGCGCTGGGAAGAGTGTAGCTCAGGATGCCCTCCAATCGAAGCAGTCAATCAATTGACAGCGACCACTCGAGTCGGGCATCAATCGCCATACATACAACACCTACCTGCCTCCTCCCCACACCTCCATGCCATCCCATCCAACGACCGAACCACTCGGAACCGTCGCCGAGGATCGAAAGCCAATGCAAATAGACGTCAAGTCGACATGACATGACATTGACAGTAGCAAACCCCCATGTCCCCCCAAACTTCTCGGAGCCAACCACCGCTGTCAAATCAACACAAGCAACCTAGCCGGCCCAGGATGGCGGCCACATGGCCGATCTAGATGGGGCCGGAACCGAAACGAACGAAACGAAAGCAAGCGAAACGGCTGGCGCGGAAATTGAGTGCGTGGGTTGGGTGCGCGTGCCTTATGAGTGGAGAGAGCGAGCGCATCAGGAATTTTGAACAGCTGTTCCTGCATGACATGGGAAAAAAGTGTGGGGAGGAGGCGACAAGATGGACGTGAACATATATAGATAGGCTGGACGACACCTGCCGACCGTAATCGACCGAGACGTCTGGATCTCCAAAGGTAAATGCGCTGCCGATCCAATATCCATTGGGACTTCGCCTCCGCTTGCGCTCCTTGGGTGTCTGGTAGCCAGTGTATGCATGCATAACATCACTATGCCCGGGGATTTCTCGGCCCGCACAAGCTCGACAAGGGGAAGAGACTGTAATTCAATCACTCGAGAAAATTTACGTTTAGACCGTTTAGACAAGGACATTTCTCTTCAGTCCAAATCAAACCGACAGCAAGTGCAAGCGGTGTTGTTGGCAAGGTATTCAATTGGTGAAGCATAACCAAGGTTTACAGGAAATCTAGACTGAGCCCAGGATATCCAGCTGTGCCTCCTTCCAACCTTTCGTTTAAGTATGCCCATATATCCTCGTCCACTAGCAGGTACAGATGAGAGGCATACCGAGCTAGATTCTTTTGGTACGCAACAATGAAGTTCACAAGGCAGAAGGCATTGAACCAGCCAAGGATGATGACGAGCAGGCCCTACTCCTCATCATCGCCACCAGCGGCGACGCCATTGCCCTCGGCCTCCTCGACCTCGGGTGCGTCTGTAGCTTTCGCAGTGGCCTTGCTGCTAGGGAGGTCGACGGCCTCATCTTCATCCTCCTCGCCCTCTGGCTCCTCGCCATCCTCATCCTCTTCTTCAACCTCAGGCTCTACCTCTTCTTCCTCACCGTTCTCCTCGGCCGGCGCATCGGCGGTCTTTAACTTCTTCTTGGGAGGGGCTTTGTCTGGTTGGAGAGATGTTAGCGGCGCTGAAAGGGGGATGATAGGGTGGCAGACAAAATGGAGAGAGAGATAAACACCAAAGTTGATGCCAAGAGCTAGACAAACCCACTACTTCGAGTGAAGTAGAGCGTCTTCCACCCTTGTCACTTCAGATCAAGTAGGACTGGCTTACCTGGGATGGCACTCTCCTCTTCTTCCTCACCGGCTTCTTCCTCGTCATACTCCTCGTCATCATCATCGTCTTCGACGTCATCTTCCTCCTCCTCATCACTGATATATCTGTTGCTAAAGTTAGCATTGGACTTCGACCCGGCAGCAGCTTACTCGAGCCATCTAAAGGCAAGATGAGAGACACAAGGGCGCAGACACCGTGGAGCTTTGGCAAGAGCTGGACCATATATTACATATGGCGCGATCTCTCGAGAACGAAGCGCCGGTCTGGGTGGTCCAGCGCTGTCCCCGAAGCTCCATGCTATCGGCCCCGATGGTGTCGCATCATCCACGCGACAGAGGAGATGATATAGCGCAAATATGGCCGAGAGATGGGATGACTTACTCTTCTTCCTCTTCACCGTCACTGGGGAGAGAGACCAGCTCTTCCTCCTCGTCTTGCTTTCTCTTGCGGGAAGACATTGTGTGGGTCGGGGTGGGCAGCTGTCAATTGATCAAATGCGAGAGTTTGAGGGTGATATCGATGGGTCCCGATGGATGGAGAGGGAAGTAGGAAGGGAGAGGAAGAGAGAAAGGAGGAGGGAAAAGGCTGTGAAGTAGGGGGAGTTTCGGGGGTGGTGGCCAGCAGTTTGGTGGACAGCTCCCTCAGAAGGGCGAGAGAGGAGAGCAAGGCAGGCAGGACAGAACACGCAGGACAGGGGGGCCGGACTTTGGACTTTGGGGGAGGAGGGGGGTGGGAAAGCTGGACTGGGCTGGGCTGGGAGGAGAGCAGAGCAGAGCAAAGCAACACAGACGAGCGGCGGGAAGGGACGAAGGGAGGGGCAGCTTCCCCCAGCTCCTCCCCATTTCCTGCTGCGCTGAATGTACCTACCATACTGAGGTGTCGCTGGCGCAATCACTAACAGATCGCATCACCTTTTTTGTCCTCAGGCATCATTCTTGATGCGATTGAGGGGAATGACGAGGTACCTCCAGAGTAACTCTTTGCTGGTGGCTGGGGGTGCGAGTGACGGAAGAGTGCCAACGCCGCGGCCTGGCCCGTGCTCCTTTGGCGAGGAGATACCGCCCCAAGTCTGCTATCCTAAGGTAAGGTACCTTGGTAGCGTAGATCACAGCGCAGTCCACAGGGCAGCCGGATCGCTCGATGGAGCTGTTGGTTGGCTGGCGAGTCCAAAAAGGGAGCTCGGACCTCCTCCTATGTTCCATTGTGCTCTTTCCCCTGGTAGACTGGCTTACAGGAAGCTGGTCCGAGCTTTGCAAGAGACCTCACTAAGACGCCCGGAGCAAGCTCCCCAATCACCTCGCACACCCTCTCGCCATGTTGCTCCCACTCCCCCCCAACAATCGCAATTCGTCTTCCAGCGGGCTGCGAGCCAACAAGTTTAGCATGCACTGGACACAGCCGATCACGCTTCCAACAAACGTCATCGACTTTGCCTATCACGTGCAGTGATGTTTGTCTCGATGAGAAGCTTAGGTAAGATCGCTAGATTGAAGCAATCGGAAATGTTGTCGTCGGGGTTTCCTGAGATTCGGGTTCGAAAGAGGAAATAAGAAAGAATGCAAACAGGATGATATGCGGGGATCCTAATTGCAAGACGGACCCAGTGAGCCATTCCCACAATGTCTGTGGGTGCATCTGGTTCTTGCCGCGCTTGCTGACGCCTTTGAATGGAGATGTATCATTGAGTCGGTACAAGTTTTAGGTAGGAAATGTATGAGAGAGAAGAGAAATTAGTCCACCTGCGCCCTCCTGGCCTGCCCAAAGGCTTGGTCAGCTGATCTCACGGAGCAGGTGCGAATTGTACCGGCTTGAAATTGACCGAGGAAAACGAAGGCGAGGAAGGAACAGCGGCTGTGCTATGAGTATCTAGCCTTACGAAGAGAGATGTGCTGTGCCTTATTCTGCCTTTGCACTCTTGGAAATGCTTTTGCCCTGTACCTACCTGGCTACCTAGGTAGATATGAATCGTGTAATAGCACATCATGTATACCATGCAGCTGCCTGAAATTCTGGCGAGAGAAAAGAGGACGACCCGGCCTGTAGTAGGCAATTCGACTTGAGGCTATCGCGATCCTCTCGGGTCGTTAAGGCGCAAACGCGAAGCATGAAGGTTCGTGTCGACAAGGAGGAAAAGCGGGAGACGGGAAGGTAATCTTAGTCCAGAAGACGATTACACTGCGGGAGGGAAAACGTGGCTGGCTACGGCCAATAGCAGCCTTGTGGTTTCCCTATTATTTCCCACTTACGTCCAGCGTTCTCATCAGGTCGGTCAGGTACGGCAAGTACGGGTACCTCCCTCTGGCCTTGATCCTCGGTCCTTCCCGCAATCGTCGCTTTTTCTGACTTAGATCGGTTTGGGCAGTCGCGTCTCCCAACGCGTTGATGTAACCCCCGCAACGCCAGATTGCAACTCAAAGAGATCTGGGAAGGTGAGAATTGACAACGGCTTACCGCCCAAAGGCGAAAGGACGCAACATCGTCGCAAACAGTAGGGGGGGAGCAAACAACCAGGCCGAGGCATGTTTTGGTCGTGAGAAATGACACTGCGACTTCATGATGATCTGTGCTGGGGTGGGGGGGGGCTGTGGTGCTCATGGGCAAAGGCAAGCACCTATCATGAGTACGGAAGTATAAGACCTGGCTATGGGCCTGCATCACTAATCGCGCCACAGCAGATACAGTGCTGTCGTCAGATGCCCAGCCGGACTAACGGCCATCACTTGAAGGCGTTGCGAGAGGGTCTGTCTGAGACATCCACGCCGAACGAACCGACATATGTCGGTGAAAGCCACAGCTCGCCTATCTGATTGATGCTCATATGGCCCCGGAGGGTTTATCTCGACTTATCTGACGCTTGGGCAGATTGCATGTCTTGAATCCGACTGCACATGGCCCTTGCCCCAATTCCCCCGACATTCCTCTGGCGGGATCTAATCTCTCCCAAAGTGCGCTTCCCACGTGGCCACCAGATGCCTTCGTAGGCCAGAAAGGCCTCGCGTCGGAAATTGCTGGACGGCTGGCGCTGCAACTATAGAGGGAAGCAGGCACTTGCTCGCTTGATAATTCAATCTACGCACCTGGCCAGACTGACCGGCGTGGAGCTGGATTATGTGGCTGCAGACGATAGTGGATAGCGGAATGGACACCCAGCTGACCTCTCTTTGAAAGTTCGTGCTCCGACGCGTCACGCATGCCATCAGGCGATAACATTGATGGAAGGAGAGAATTCGCCAGGCTCGAAGCGATTCCGAACGCAACAATTGATAGCCGTCTGGAATATGCAGCAGCTCAACTTGATTTGGTTGAGAAAACTCCGGGTGTCAACCAGCTTTTCCAGAAAATCTGTCCTTGGAAAGAAGCTGCCAGGGTGTTTGGCTTCCTCATCTTCCTAACCATTGTTGGGCAGGTAGGGGTGACAGAGGGGTAGATTATTACCTGTTAGAGAGTTAGCTCAGGCACCGAAGGGCTCCGGGAAAGCCTCGCCGGTGCCCCTGACCCGCGGCGCTGGGACAAATCTTGGAAATCTTCCAGGGGTGCGCCGCGGCCACCGGGGCGACCTGCATGAAAAAAAGGGCCATTGAGGGAGAGTGAAGAGACAGAGGTTGGGCTTCGCTTATGACCGAGAGACTTCATAATCCACATCGTCGCCTTTTCAACGAAAGAAGCAACTAAGATCTGACGATGATTGTTGATATTGCGCGAAAACAAGTGGACATTGGGTGGATATTATCAGTGTAGCCCTGCATTGGTGGTTGATAATGCCCTTATAGTAGGCTGCTGGCTGATTCCAGGCGGAGCAGGATTTCACTGAAGGGTGGGTGAAGTAAGGCGGTGCATGAACTGCCCGGTTGAGCTGTGAGATCTGCGCTTCATGAAATTACCAACCCTGGCAACATTTCGTCAGGCCGAATTTTCTGGCTCCTGATCCGTCCTCCTCACTAAGAAGCAATTGGACAGAGGAGAGAGATATAGAACGTAGAGGAATAACATAGTCTCAAGAGAGTGTGTAGGCTTCCATCTGTTCTCCTGAATTCAAGTTAGCTAGATCTGAGTATCTTATGCGCACAGTCACCGTCGATGCGGGATAGACGCAGGGCACGAGCAGCGTGTCATCATGGTACGGCTTAGTTCACACTGAATCTGAGACCAGCTCAGATGTCATAGCACGAGGACCCAGCACTGTCGACTGTCTTGTCCCCCGCGATCCATCCGTCACTTTTTTCTCTCTCTCTAGCCGGGGGACGAACAACCTGGACAACAATACTATGCAGTAAGCACCTACGTAACGCGCCGCCCGGGGACTAAGTAAGGCGCAGATGCAAATCTTCATTTCAACATTGCCGTCATCGAGGCCTCCTTGCCTATTCTTTTTAAAATCACAGTCCGCAAATAGGATCGGGATGCGGTCGGGGAATAGCCGCAGCGCCGCAATAACCTTAAGTTGCCTGCAGTCAATTTAACTCAAACCCTACTGCCATGATGCTGCAAGTGCAGTGACTGACGAGTATAGCATCGTCTAGAATCATAACCTATCACAGCGCACTTTCCCTTACTTGCTTCTTACAAAACTATTCCGTAAAATTTCAATTCGGGACTGCAACGGCCTTGCTGGGAATCTGGCGACGAGATTTCGAGTGTTGAGTGTGGCTTACCATGCAGTACATCATGACACCTGACTGCAATGGAATGCTCAGTATGTCATCGTGTTGTTTGACAAACTTCCTGTTCCTATCAAGCATTCCTGGGTCGGTTATTTTAAGCCGCTGGCCCTTTGTCACGACCTTGGGCTGTTTATCTTCGCCTCTGAAACCTGTGTCAGACCTGCTACTTGTGACCCTATCCAGATATGTCTGCTCATTACGTCGCATTGTCGACTGCCGACATGAAGCTGGATGCTCGATATTAGATGGAGCCGCGTGAGAGACAGTACAAGGTCACAACAGCTGTTAGCCCAAAATTTCCCAGAGTGAAGAGAGGGCACTTTCTCCCTCAGTAGAGTACATCAAACTCCGGGGGCGGAAAGAGGGTGGAGAATACCACGAAGGAGGTAGCGAAGGGATCCCTGGCGAGAGCCCACACTCCTGCGTAGTAGTGCGGAAAGGCCAACCTGAGGAGTTGTAAGTAACCCTGGGAATCCCCGTCCACCGTCGCGTCACTAGCAAACAAGCCATCCCGTTCCTCATTTTCCCAGTGTGGGTGGTACTAAACAACCCGGCGCGTCTCCAGGCGAGTGCAGCATACATGCAGTAGCAGAGGTACATACAGACAATACACATTACGCACACACGCACACACAAATGAAATGAGAAAAAAAGGTCAATGGCGTGTCCACCGCGAGTGTCCCTCACTTCCGTAATTATCAGCCTTAAGTCAAGTCAGGTCAAGGTATGCATAGCGTGTGGTGCTGCTAGGTAAAGGGAAAGAAAGGCATTAAGTTATACATAACATACATATGTCGTCGACCGGCCGTCCGTGCCTCTTCCCATCCTCCCCCAACAGCACCAATTGTCACGCCAAACAAAGCACACCCGCCGTCCGACTCTACGATAGGAGGAAGAGCAGAGCTCTGATGCCATGGCCGGGGGAGTAGACCTCGACGGCGACCCGGCGGCCACTGGGGGCTATGATGTTAAGCGCCAGCAGAGCATGAGAAACCGAGAGTTTGGCCTGTATGCTTCCCGGGTGCGCCAGGAGCCGACGAAACAGCAGCACGCCTCAGATTTGCCTGTGCATGTGCCTGGCTGGCTACCCCAGCACGAGTACCAGCAGGAGCAGCACCAGCACCCGGTATTAGAAGAAAAAGAAGAAGAAGAAGAAGCGTACGAGGAAGACGAGCACGAAGACTTTAGCCGTGCAAATACCCATGCGCAGGGCCATGCGCAGGCACATGCTCATGCTCATGCATATGCATATGGCTACGCATCCCCTCCGTCTTCAGATTACTATCATCAGACGAATTCCTCCTTTTCTCACCAACAGGGCGACTACGACTACCGGCGCGACGAGAATTACGATTTCGACGACGACTTTGTAGCGTCGCCCGAGGCGGGCGGATTTTACAGCAGCCCGCCAGCGGTTGGCGGCAGCTTCAGCAGCACCAACATGGGCACCGGACTTGCTCCACAACTGCCCCCGTTGCCAATCTCGCCAATATCCCCTCGATGGGATTCCCTCGTGCACAGCGCCACGGTCATTTACGACAAAAATTCTGCGTCGTCCGCTGCAGCTGCAAACAATCATAATAATGACCTAATAATCCCGACTGCGAGAGAGTCCTTCGACGAGGAGCAGCCAGCAGCCTCCGCGCCTGTCGCCCGCTCTCCAGTGGCGTCCAGCTTCCCCAAGCTGCTGCTGCAGCAGCACTCGCACCACCATCACCCTTTCATTCCCGAGGACCACCCTCTGGACCTGGAAGCAGCTCGACCGGAGAGGCGACATGAGCTGCCGTCGCCTGTAACAACGCCCACGAGCGTCTCCTCCAGGATGTTCCGGCCGGACAGCCGACAGGCAGGGGAGCCCGACAGTTTCAACTTTTCTCGACCCCGAAAACCGAGCGTCAAGAGCAGCAACTACAATTACCAGCCAGCTTCTGCGCCGCCGTCTCGTCCGCCCACAGCCAATACCTCCTTCTCGCACGAGCCAGCCCATCAGGTCGAGGTAACAAGCCCCAGGAGCCAGGCCTCCCACCCGACCTCCGCCAGCGCTCGGTCCCGGTCTCGAGGGTATTCGATATCATCTGCTCAGTCCTCCAGCACCATTGCCTCTGTTTCTCTCCCTCACATGCACTCCTATGAGCACCTCCGTAGCAAACGCAATCCCTCGTCCTCCACAACTGCTACTACCAACACCACCGTGGGCACCTCGCCAACCCCAGCACCCCAGTCCCAGTCCCAGCCATCCATAAAACTCACTCGACACCATGACCAGCAATTGCCTTGGATGAACGAAGAGGAATTGCGTTCCAGCTACAGAAGTCAGCTCACCTCGTCCACAGCTCAGGGCAGCCTCTTTACCTCGAGTGCCCATGAGCGGTCGAGCGTCCTGACAAAATCGAGTTCCGTCACCAGTGCCAGCTTAAACGCCTACTACTGGGGCCCCAACGGAACTGGCGCCCACGACGAGAATCTCAGTGCGGATGACGTGCTAGGCATGTACGAAAAGGGATTTGCCGACGACAGTGCCATGGAGGACAACGATAGGCACTCTGTCAACGACGAAGATACACAGGAGATTGATATGGGGGACGACACCACAAATCTGGATGCATTCAGACCTGCCACTACGGCATCAAATACTGGAGTCAGGGATCGACTGCTCGAGGCCATGAGTGAGCCCCTTCTGGTACCGAGTAATAGTCTTGCTATCCCTGGTGCAGATGGACATGTGGTGCGTGACTCAGGTGCATTCTTCCGCAACTCGGGGCTGCCTTCATCTGTGCCAAATGACATTGGCATGAGCCTTGCAGAGGAGGCAGCTAAGGCTGAAAAGAGGAGGGAACAGGGAGGAGGACGCACGAGGTGGAACCACAGCATAGATGACGAGGAGTTCGCCCTTAAGCACGACTCTGCGAAAATGCTCGAACAGCAGACCGACGACTCACTGTTGATCCTGGAACCAGAGCTACCACGAAGAAATTCTGCACGCATCAACACACCATCACCCTCACCATCTCAACCACAGATTGAAATCCGGGAGTTAGCGGTCAAGGACGATCGTTCTTCCGCCCCATCAATAACCAATCTTGTTCAAGGTGCACACGAGCAAGATGATCCCGATTCGAGAGACCGATATGGTTTCAAAAAGCAGAACCAGTACATTACGCGTGAGCAATATGATCAATGGAACTCGGGATACTCAGAGTATCTCGCAAGACGGCGGAAGAAGTGGGTTCAATACCTGAAGGAGAGCGGGCTTATGACAGATGATCCTGGCCGCTTCCCACCGCCATCAGCCAAGACTAAACGGTTCATCCGAAAGGGCATTCCGCCTGAATGGCGTGGTGCTGCGTGGTTCTACTACGCCGGTGGACCAGCTATCTTGGCGAAACACTCTGGTGTGTACGATGAGCTCGTCCGGAGAGCTGATCGCGGAGAAGTCAAGACGATCGCGAAGGATGATATCGAGCGAGACCTTTACCGCACGTTCCCGGACAACGTCCGATTCAGAAGGCCGCCGCCACCGGGAATCAATGGGAAAGCCACTCCCGAGACGCCTCTGCATAGTCGCAATCCGTCTACGCAGTCGGCAAATCCGACCCCGAGGCTACCGGGGACAGAGCCCGAAATCATTGCTTCACTCCGCCGAGTGCTCTCCGCATTCGCCATTTATAACCCGAGGATAGGGTACTGTCAATCATTGAACTTCCTTGCAGGTCTTCTTCTTCTCTTTGTCGAAACCGAGGAGCAAGCTTTCTGGCTGCTTAATATCATCACCCGAGTCTATCTTCCCGGCACTCACGAAATGTCTCTCGAAGGGTCCAAGGTGGACCTGGGTGTGCTGATGTCTGAGCTGCGCACGTGCCTCCCCGGTGTCTGGACGAAAATATCCGACGACGGCTCCGGCAAGAAGTCCAGACGAAAGGACAAAGGGGCGCCTATCGGCGACGACAGCTTGCCACCGGTCACACTCGCCCTGACGGCGTGGTTCATGTCATGCTTCATCGGCACGCTGCCCATCGAGTCGACGCTGCGCGTGTGGGACGTCTTCTTCTACGAGGGCAGCCGCACGCTGTTCCGCATCTCGCTGGCCATCTTCAAGCTGGGCGAGTCGGAGATCAAGGCGATGTCAGATCCTATGGAGATGTTTGGCGTCGTGCAGTCCATCCCCCGCCGTATCATCGACGCGAACCTGCTCATGGAGACGTGCTTCAAGCGGCGGAGCGGCTTCGGCCACCTCACGGCCGATGTCGTCGAGGAGAAGAGGCTCGAGCGCCGGGTGCTGGCGCGCAGCGAGCGCGAGAGGCTCCTGCAGGCTGCTGGGACCGCGGACCTCAAAGTCCAGGTCGCGGGGGTCGCGGGCGACCTTGCGTCTGGCGAGTCTGGGTTCGGCGACACGGTCAGGAGGAAGGGCACTTTGTTCGGCAGGAAGAAGCAGCTGGAACGGCCCCGTTTGGCGGAGATCTAGGGCCTCAAGATTCGGTCCGAACTACGGCAACTCGCCCGGCGAGCACAAGGGCCTCGGAACCACATCGCACAAGCCACATAAAAGTTGGGACGTGGATAATTGTCCGAATTACACTCTACGGGCAAGGGTAACAATAATGTCTTATACACACACATACACATACACGTACACACTAAAGGGAAAGGGAGCATTGTAAAAGTGAGCATCGCGAGGGATGATGGCGTAACGTACGACTTTTCACAGTACAATCAAGTTCTTTTGTTTGGCATTGCATCGCATCAGGGAGCCTCGGTGGCTTTGCATACAGGGCTATTGGTTAGAGGGAAAACAGATAAGATAGGGAAATGCTCGCGCTCTGAGCTTAGATACGAAGAGCTGAATATATGGTCTGAAAGCGATTGTACAGTTTGCTGTCACTTCCGAGGTGTTCTATCATTACGTGCCGTGCCTGTGAGTCAACACGAGCGCGCAGTCATCGAATCTCTACAACACACTCACACACTAACATGCCATATTCATGATTGCAAAACGCAAAGTGATGCCATTCCGGAGTTTACTGCTGACCTTCTAAACCCCTAGAACACACCGTAAATGCCGTAGACCCTGATATGGAGAGAGAGAGAGAGAGAGAGAGAGAGAGAAAAGCGCACACTGCAACGCCGAGAGTACATGGACCAAAAGATACCGAAGACGCAGACCTGTGCCACTGCTTACAGGCCCCTGAAGGCCTGCAGACCCCTAGAGCGGCACCGTCACCACCGACAAACCACCTTGTGCGTAACAGACAAGGAGTGTAGCCAGTTCCCCCCCGCCGCTCAGCTGGAGCTCGCTGCCGCCGCCTCCTTGGCCGCCGACGCAGCAAGCGCATCGAACTTGACCGCGCCCTTGGCGTAGCGCGAGACGTAGTTGCGCGCCGTCTTGTCAAAGTCCGCGCGCTTGTTCTTGTACTCGTCGGCGATGCGGGCCTCGAGGGGGTCGTCGGGCTGGGGCTCGATCAGCAGGCCGCGCACGGCCTCGAGCACGCCGAGCAGGCGGCTGGCGGGCTTCCAGTTCTCGGGCTTGAGGGCGCCGAGGCAGATGTTGCCGAGGCTGTCGTTGGTGACGTTGGGGTGGTAGATGCGCGTGGCGAAGGTGACGAGCGGCGGCTTGAAGGGGTAGTCGGCGGGCAGGCTGACGACGAGGCCAAAGGTACCCCCCGCGTAGACGGTGCTGGGCGGCCCGGCGAGCGTGATGTGCCACTTGTGGATGTCGGACTCGTTGGCGAGCTCGATCTTCATCCCCGCGGGCGGGTTGGCCATGCAGTCGGCCAGCTCCTGTACGGGCACGCAGGCGAGGTCAGCTGGGCTGGAGAGAGAAAGGTAGAGGTTTGGTGGTGAGCTCCCAAGGGGACTGAAGGGGGTTCCTCACCTTGGAGATGCGCTTTTGGCTGGTCATCTTGGGCAATAGATCGTGTCTTTTCGTCTGATCGACGTTTGCTGCTCGTATGGCACGGAGCAGTGTTGCCCGTGTGGAATCGTCTTTCTGTTTGTAGTGTAGGTACTGGGATGATCACCAGGAGCTGTTTGTGCAGCGGCCCGGGAAGAGTGACATGAAGGAGCGGAGCACACAAGACGAAGACGAAGACGATGACGAGGCAGAGACCAAATAAGGGCAAGCAGGCAGGCGGAAGGAAGTAGTAGAAGAAGAGGAAGAAGACGTTGTCGTTGTCGTTGTCGTTGTCGGGCAGACTGACTGCGTGTTCTTGTCTTGTGCTGCGTGTGCCCCGTTTGGTTGTCTGCGTTTGTCGTTTGTCGTTTGTCTGTCGCAGGTCCGCGGTGCAGGTGCAGGTGAGGCTGTCAAGGTGGGGTGGGGGTCCAGGCTGTGATGAAGCTACCCTCCTACCTTAGCAAGCTGCTGGTGGTTGGGCGGGGCAAGGCAGGCAGGCAAACACCAGCGGAGGCTAGCTAGCTGGGCAGATACTAGAGATGCCTAGTAGCTCTTGTTTGGTGGGGTTCGCGCCGTGCCGGTCCAAATTCAAATTCTCAGGGGTTCTCAGGTGGCACTTCAGCTCTTCTGGTGTTATCCCACTAATAAGTGAGTGAGTGGCATTGGCCGATCCATCGCCATTCATCGTATACGCACCACATATGCATCATGTTTGCTCCTGTGGCGTTACCGTGCATGACATGGAGCCTCATTCAGATGGAAAATCAGTAGCTAACAGGACGGAAAGCCATCCGTTAGGTAGTGTCTCTTTCACGGGCAACAACATAACACCGGCAAAGCGTGGTGTCTGGTTCGTGAGTGAGTCCTCTCGCGCTCTATCAAGGGGTTATCCTAGTGATGAGGGAGGAAATAGAACAATGGTGAGGTCCTTATCAAAATACCTGCCGCATGCAGACATCGGACACATATAATGCGAGCTTGCCGTGGGAGTCATCCGGCAATCTGTAATCCGGACCCGTCGAGATCCCCGCCAAGGCGTGCTGGAGATCGACGATAAAAGTCGCCTACGTCCGCTCCCATCTACTTGCGAGTTCATCAAGTCATTTCGAGAGTGCTGGGTTGGATTCGAATAGCGCGACGTTCAAATGTACATGTGAAGAAGATGGCTTCTCCCAATGCCACATTCACGCTTCAGCATGCGGTCGAAGCTGATATCCCCACACTCGTCTCCATCGGCGACGAAGCCTTCAAGGCTGACAGACACACTCAGCTGAAGGCGGCGCATTCTACCACACCCTACGTCCACTCTGCTAGCATGCCCGAAACTTTTGCCTCTTGGATCAGTTCGCCTAGGGAGAAGTTGGAGTTCATCAAAGCAGTCGATACTCAGTCGGGAGAGATCTTGGGGTTCATCTGCTGGTTCAAGCGCTTTCAGCCTGCGGCAAGCCAACCAGCTGAACCTAAAGAGACTTCAGCAGAGGAAGATGGGTCTGAAAGTAGAGAGGTCACCGAAGTAGCCGAACAAAAAGCTACTGCCGAGGAGGTAATTGATGTTGCGGAGGAAGCTGACGGGCGGCTTGAGGTGCAACCCGAGACAGTGGAGTCACAACAGAGACTGGCGCGAGAAGAGGCATACAAGGAAATGACGGGCATGACAACCGATCATCTTGCAGAGTTCCAGAAGAAGATCATGGCCAACGGAGCTCGGTGTATGATCATTGTCGGCATCTCTGTGCATCCAGATCATCAAGGCCGGGGCGTGGGGTCGGCGCTGGTCAAGTACGGGACAGATATCGCCGACGAAGAAGGAGTCTTCTGCTGGGTGCACTCGAGCGAGGCCGGAGTGAGAAACTTTGTGAAGAGTGGATTTGTCGAAGTCGACCATCTCACAATTGATCTGGATTACTGGGCGGAAAGGTTCGGCGTAGGGCCACCTCCAGCTGACGCAGCAGATGCTGACGATGGGACACCGGCATGGGGACCTTATACCCTGAGATACTTTGTCAGGCGGGCAAAGGGAGCTTGGGGAAGTTGATTCTTGTTCGTGCTAACTACCTGTTTTGGAGAGATGATCGTCTATGGCGCGGTGAGAATTAATCTGTAATTTACCGATACTCTATAATATCTTTGAGAGTCTCCGGGCCTCAACACGATATCACCAACGAAATAGCATATTACATGAAGAGCATCATGACCACCCATGTCGCCAACAACGCCGTAACCTGTACGCCTCCCGCAATAACAGTCCTCGTAGCCGCGTTGGTAGACTCTTTCGACTCCGTCTTAGCCGAATCACCCGAAAAGAACTTCACATCAGCCCTCTGGACACCAAGCTGCGGCATCTGACTTCCGTCAACGCAGAACTTGGCTGGATCTGTCCACGTCGCGTCGACCGCTCGCTTCCACACCTCCTCGGGGCCGTAGATCATGGGCGCCGTGTAGAAGAAGCGGCAGTTCGCCGGCTGATAGAGGAACTGCAGGGGCGTCTCCGCGTCTGTCATGGAGAACGCATTCTTGCCGTTCACAGCACCAGGGCTGTCAGGGTTGGCGGCTCGGCTGATGGCATAGCCCTCCGCAATGATTCCCAGTTCGGTGCCGTTCAATGCCTCTTGCTCGGACTCGGGGCTCAGGAACATGACGGCGGATGCAGCGGCGGAGATCTCATCTAGGGGGAAGACTTGTGCGCCCTCAACTCCGGCGACAGACTGCATCTTCCCGGCATTAGGTCGACCACCCACAGCAACAGTCTTAATGTTGAGCTGATTGATCATGAGATAAGAGAAGAGGGTACACGTCGATGAGCATGCAGCGTCCGTGAGGATCACCACATTCTCTGGCTCGAAGACGGCCGGAGGTGGGTTAGCACGGTTGCCGGTCCCCGTGAGGTTGAACGTGGAGCTTGTGTCATTGAGCGGTGTCTGTTGATACGCCGTGAACCTATCACGCTGTAGAGTCACAGGACTGAGAATCTCATCGACGGTCGTGAGGTTCGCACCGTCTGGACTAAATACACCGCCGGGAATGAGGTTGCTGACAACAGAGCTCTGTTGCAGCACCGCGAGTGCGAATTGCTCGTCCGTGGTAATATTAGATGAGTCGACAGTAAGGATTTGGTCTTGTAACGATGCAGCAATCCGACCCATCTTCTCTAGACTCTCACTTAGTCTCAAGTCGTGCGCTTGGAATGGCTCAACGTCAGGGAAGATCTGTTTTGCGTCAGCACTTTCTGATCGTTTCAAACCGGCATTTACATGTACATACTTGGATGAAAAGCTCATAGCCGGCGACAACAAAGCCGCCACCATTTGCAGTTACATCAATGACAAGCTTTGTTTTGCCTGCCTCTTTGGACTTGGCCAAGAACTCCTCCAAAGTCGACTGGAAATTAGTCAGGTACTCGATGGTATCAAAGGTTCCGAAAGGTGAGAAGCCGAGAACGGACAAGACAGCAACGTCATCATAGCCAGTGCCGTTTAAAAAGTAGCCTGCTGTCGTGTTTGAGCCGCTGTCTCGAATGACCGGGAATGGGAATCCCTGAATTGTTGGCTCGGGCGCGGCAAGTGTTGTTGCGGTCTCTGTGCTGCTTGCTGAACTAGATGTCGAGGTCGTCGAAGACGCTGCCTCCGCTGCCAGGCTGAGATCCGGGTTACAGAATCGCTGGTAGTAATCCTCGCCGGTCACGACTCCAGTGAAGTTTGCTCCCGGTCTGATGATTGCGAAGCTTTCCGCCGTCTTATTCTCACCGTTGTCATAGGTGAACGTCGTTGAGGGTCCTTGATAAGCAAGCGATGCTCCGACGATAGGAAGCGCGTCCGGCGTCGCGTAGGTCTGGAACTGAGAGTTCCACTGTGAATCAGGGTCCTGGAAGCTGCTGAATTTGAGATCCAAGCCTTCGATAACAGCAGCAGCATCCTGACCGTTGATTTCAACAACAGCCGCTGGCATGGCTGCGTCTCCAGTCGGCAATGTGTCGTTCAGGTCGGCTGTGCATTGTAAGACGGGGTTCGGTCAATTCAAATTAGACGGAGCTTACCATAATGATACAGCTTGGGGATCTCTAAGCCGTCTCGAGAGACCGACACAAGATCAAATGCTAGGCTATTCCTAAACGTAAAGCCTTTGAACACATCGGGACGGAAAGCAAAGTGGCCATCATGAGCTGACGCGAACAATTCGACAATCGCAAGCCCAAACTCATATTCACTTAGAAAGTCACCTGCGTCAACTTGTGTAGAGATGGTGTCCAAACCCGCTTCTATGTCCACTGCTGGGAGCATATAAGACGCTGGAGGATCCTTTAGCCAGGCCAATGTGCTCTGCCATTGCACAAATGCCTTTATGCTGTTGATGAGCTTCTGTGCTGGCTCGACCTTATTCGGCACAGTCTGCAAACAATCATATGCGATTGACGCAGCTACTGTGGGTGTCGCTTAGAGCGGAATATCGTGTTAGTAGGGTGATGACTTCTCCCGGATCGTGAAGTGTTTCAATACATACCAGCTGGGTCAGCAGCGAGCTGCGCGTCCGTCGCAGAAGCGATCTTGGCACAGGCATCCGGTGCGACTGTTGTCTCTGGAGGCGCCGTGAATTGAGGTGCTGGTGATGCGAGGACACCAGCGACGCCAAGAAGGTTCAATAGCACAGCTATCCTCCAGCCTGCGGAGTGCATCTTGGACAACGTAGGAGAGCAGCGGCAACCAGGCCAACTGCCAAATTAATCTCACGACGATGAGTGCAGAGCATCCCTAAGGGCGAGAAACGGCGGTAGAGACATTATAGATAGCCATAACATTTTGCCAAGAAGCGCAGCCCAGTTGTGCTACCAGGATGAAACGCGAAGCTATCTCCAACACCATCGAAGTTCCCCCTTGCTCGGGTCGCATTGTGGTCCATTCTCGAAGAGATTACCCTATTTACGATCCGATATTGGAGTCGACCACGCCTTATCAGGTAGATCCGACATCTTGGGGAGAAAAGTAAGCGGGTACAGATGCTGCCGGCCACCTGGGTAAGGTCATCGTAGCTTGGTTGCGAGAGGATTCGGTCTCCACGCTCTCCGAACCGCTCTCTAGGGACAAGGAGTCAATTCTCATACACAGAAAGTTCATGCACATCTGGTTCTATGGATCGGTAGCCAGACCTTACAGGGCATCCCTGGGCTGATCTTCCGCAGATCAAGCGACCTACGCACGGGCGACTGCCGCCCCGGCATGGGGTGTGGGTGCAATGCGACTCTTCTAATAAATTATGATGCCAGAGCAAAAACAAGGCTTTTGATAGGATGTCCATAATTATAAGCTTACTTTTAGTCGAATTCTACAGGTCTTATAGAAACAAATCTAAAAGGTGTGTTCAAATCCTGCTGAGTTGCCTCAAAGCGGAAATCGAAGAGGCTACCACAGCCCAACTACTCTTTGATACCGAGACGAATAGATTAGGGAGCAAATTTGGCTTGACTGATATGTATACAAACACCAAAATGTGTCAGATAGGAGACTGATCTTATACAATCTATGAAATAATTCGAAAACAAGGATCTGAACTTGGGGTTTTTCTTACAACTTCAAAGAAGCCTGTACCTGCTGATAGCGCCGGCACAAGGTCTTATCTTCTATTATCCATCATAATTGAAGGCCAACAGCTCCATCATTGCAGAAGAGCGTCTTACTGTATGAACTAAGGATGGAGCCCTATCGGAAGATAATGACGTCCCGTGTGGTTCACGGCCTTGGCCTGTTTCCTGACCTTGACTAAGAAAGCTGTTATAAAAGCTAATAAATCGAATCAGTCAGGACTTCAACCCCATTTAACGGCATTGTAACCAGAGGGTCGAGAAGTGTTCTGGTACTCTTCAACTCATATATGGTAGTGCTCGCTAAGGGAAAATGCACAACACCGATATCCTTTGAATGATTGTTTTTGGCAATTTGAGTCTGCCCTCCGCTTGAACCAGCAACTCTATGCGAGAGGTAGCTGAGCTGTCATAAAAGCCTAGAAAGCTCTACCGTTTTCTATGACGCCAATGAGCCTGTGCGAAGGGTTGGGGGAAGTGGCACGATTTTGCATCATTACTGGGCTGTTGGGGGCGGGCTTCGCCGAGGAGACCATGACCCAAGACTTACTCCACTCAACACAGTTTGTCGAATCAATCGCTTCAACGACAATGGCTTCCGCGAATAGCCTTTCCGAAAGTTCGCCGTGTTCCACTGAGGCGGGATGGTCCCGAACCCCTGTAAACGGTCTTCTTCCTCCGTTTTGACGGGAGTAGCGGGGAACGTCTGTCTGCCGTTCCGCCGTGCACGCCTTAAAGCTGTGGGGCGTATCAGGACCGTAACCTCCGTGACCACAATGCGAAGGAAATGTGGCAAATCGGCATGACATCTCTCTCATTCATGACAGCGTACGTTTTTACACCGTAAGGAGACCCTGGCTTGTGAATTGGAGACCATTCTTCATTCGCCCTTCCAATGCCGCTTCCCTCCGAATCAACTACAGCTAAGCCCGCCTTCTCGAAGGCTCCTTCTGGGCGGCAGGTCATGTGGTTAGCAAGTCTCAAGGTTCGCGCCAAGTGCATTACCGGACCTGAGGCAGTCGCTCACTCAGGGACCCATCATGCAATTCTCTCCCTATAAGAAAGACCCGACCATATCGGATTGCCGGAACACTCGCCAACCACTCGCCCGAGGCTTCCATGGAATCGCAAAACAAAAAGCCAGCTGTCCAATCCGGCCTTTCTCTCTGTCAAATGACACGACGACCCAAACGTTGAAATGGACCAAAACTACTTCACTGACGAAGGCACCGAGGTAAGCAGTCATGTCTTCTATCAAGGCACGGGATAAACGGTTAGCGCCTGTTGGGCACTACGAAGCACGCTGTCGACCTAAACACAACAACGAGGTTTAGCCTTGCCTTTTCAAAGAGTTTATTTGACAAAGTCGACAATATTTGATCGGCGAACGATGCGTGTTGGAGATGATAGGCATTGTATATCCACGAGGCAAGCTACCTGCCTCGCCAGTTCAATGCCTTTTCCAACAGCTTGTTAAGCCATCGGTTTCATTTAAACATCAAATGGACCAGCAGCATAGTCTACCTCCTACATTTGGCTTATGATTTGCTGGAAGAGGCTTTGAAAACCACAAGCTGACCTAGGACTTCTGCTAGATACCCTTGCGCTCCCACCTGACCCCCACGCTCGAAGACGTACCAAGCGGGCGGTACGCTATGTCGTCATCCTGGGGAGCAGGAGATACTCAGTTGGGTGACCAGAGCTACTACGGATCATCTGATCAGTATCACGACATATCAGCCACCGATTACCTCTCATACCTCAACAGTGGAGAGACGTCCTACCCTGTGGGAGATCGAGTCGCCGCGGGAGATGGCTTCTTTCCAGATACACTGGAAAAGGATGATCCTCAGGGGTACTGGCCTGCGTCTGGCTGTGTCACAACTAATGGGCTCCAGTCAGCAGTATTAAGGCAATCTAGGTTGTCATCGCTGGACTATTCCGATCACCAGGCCATGAGTTCACAACCAAATGGCGATTTCGTGTCGCCTTCTCTACTAAATGCTGACACCGACCCGGATTCGCCCTTTCCAATGGAACAGAGCACATCGGACAAGTCGGGTACTGCACCGTATGAAAACGACACAGAACGCTTTTCCCCGAATGAAAGGATCGCAATCTTGCGAGGACACGGTGGTGCAATGAATCCCGGTGGTAGCGAATTATCTAAGAGCTCATTAAGGGACCGCTCGTCTAAAGGCGCGCAGCGCAATAACGGTCAGACCAACGGATCTCCGAGGTCCAAAGGGAAAACTGGCTCAACCACTTCTCCGCCTGGAGGAGGAGAGAGTCTTATCCAGCTACGAACTGCTTCCCGAAAAGCAAAAAGGACTTCTGCATCATACAAACCTGCCACTTCGCCAGAAGAAGAGAGAGCTCGTAGCAGTCACAATCAAGTCGAAAAGCAGTACCGAAATCGTCTCAACCATCAGTTCGAGCGTCTCCTTGCCATTTTACCAACGCCAATTGACGAAAGCGGGGGGGTTGAGGGCGAAGATGCTGCAAGAAATTCTGATCGAAGACTCAGCAAGGTGGAAGTGCTAGATATGGCTCGACAGCATATACAAATGCTTGAAAGAGAAGCGTCAGAATTGGAACAACAGAGGCAAGAGTTGGTGAGTAGCATCGGGAGGATGACAGAGTCTGTGAGGACTGGCGAGCCAAGGCTTGGGCCTAATGTCGCCGGTATTTAATGTTGGTAGTTGGCGTTTCTGGGATATGGCGAGTTGGTGCAGGGAATTTGGGGGTTTTAGTTTTTCGCAGCTTGAAAAGGGGTTGTTGTCCTTGTCCTTCCAAGCGGGACGTGCGGCTTCGGCGTTCAGGTCAGTGACCTGATGGAGCACTAATGGACTGATGGGATGTAGTGTCGTATCTTCACGCTGCAGTCTACACTTCATCAATATATAACTTCAAATATTGGTCAAACATAACTGGATATCAACGAGGCAAACGATTCGCCTGCTCCAAGTCTCTTATCATTTCCCTCCACAGAACTCCCTTTATTCCAGGCTGTTCCGCGAGACCAACCTCCTTCAACCACTGACACACTGCCTTGAAATCTCGCCTCGGTCGCCTGTTCAGCCACCACAAGTTCTCAAATCGACACATCAGCCCAAGCCAAAATCCAAAGAGCCAGAGAGCCCGCGAATCTCTGTCAAACAACAAGTCTCGAAATTCGTTAGTTAGTTTTCCGATGAACTGTACGTATCGAAGCATGTTGACTAGGGTCGGCCTTAGAGGCCGAATTTCAGCAATGATGCGAAGAGGCTCGCGGAAGAAGCTTGCCTCCGGATCAATGGTGCCTTGACTATTGACCTCAAGCAGACCAAATACATTCAACCACGTGGTGGGGACTTTACTCAGGCTCAGCCCATTACTGGTCAGTGTTCTCTCCTCATTGTCTGCAGCATCGAATATTGGCCCGAGAGCGCTTCCATCACGATATTGCCTGGTTGCTTTCAGAAGGGGCTTGAGACCCATCTCAATTCCTAGCCAACCTAATCGATCCTCTCTTGGACTAAACACCCATGACCGGCTGATGTCTGGCATGTTGCAATCAGCTTCGTCTTCGTGCGAGGGAAGTACAAATGATAACGTATTGAAAATCATAGCGGTGACTAGCAGAGCATCAGTGCCATCTTGTCCGAGAACATCGAATGGCACGTTCAAGGCATCTTGATAGGCATGCAAGGCTGCAGCTTGACAAATCTGCTCTGTTCTGCAAGCTATTGTGGTGTCTGGTAAATGATGCCGAAGGTGACAGGCAGAGAGAGCCAGGACGCTGAGACGAACATGAGGGTGAGAATGAATTAAAGACATCGGCAGTGATGACCAAGGCATCCCAAAAATTGTGACCCATTGTTGCTCGAAGTTCTGAAGAAGCGTTTCTATTGAAAGCCCACAGTTTAATTCATGTTCGAAAGGAGACGGCGCTTGCAAACAAGACAATGACGCCATTTGACAACTCGGTTCGTTAATTGCTTTGTTGGAAGGCTCGCACACGGTACTTTGGAAAGAGCAAGCTACTTTATTCCTTCCGCAACGGCTACAGGCAGGTTTTCGCTCATCGCACTCCAAGTGGTTAAGGTACTTCTCCA